ATTTAATTTAATACACAAATATTTTAGGTCATATTTTAATATCAAAAAGTGGTGTGGAAAATACTTCTATAGCTTAACTCTCCTGCTGTGTTCATAAAATTGTTAGGGGTCAAACTGACCCCCATTGGTTTCCATGCAATTCAGCAAAAATCAACACTATGAAAAACACTAAAGTAACATGTAAAAAAAAAAAGTCTTTATTATTGCTTGTAAATCTTTATATAAAAAAAACTGTTTTAAAAAAGGGGTAAATTTGACCCACATTCTGACGCAATTTTATGTTCAGAATTAGCTGCAGACACAAAATAAAAACATCTCTTTTATGTTTTTGTAATGATTACTTGTAGCGATTATTTACACACTGAGGCACAAATAATAACTAACTTTAAATAGTATTTAGAATTTTTGTACATAGTGTAAATAGTATTTAAAATTATTATTTTAAAATTTGATTTTAAGTGCTGCAACAGGCTATTAATTGAGTTTCAATAAACTAACAACCAAAAACATTTTGAGAATTCCCCTTAGATGATTCAATCAATCTTTATTACAGACTCAAGGTCCAAATTTAAAAAAAAACAAGACAATAGGACAACATATACAACCCACAACATCTACCACACACAATAAAAAGTTACAAAATACAACAATACCAATGTCTCCACAGCTTTGACTGATACCGTGTAGTACTAACCCTTATATTTGATAGACCATTCATTTTTTGAAGCATTTAGCCGGCAGATAAATCTATACATGATTCTTAAGTCTGCCTTAAATTTGGTAAATTCTCATATGTTTCTATATTTTAGACTTTGACGAGCTACAATAAAGGGATTTGTTGTTGTACCTGATACTTTCCAATGTTGATAATAATTTGTAATAATAATAATTTGGCAGGGGGTCGAAATTAGGCACAACATCGGTAAGGGTCGTGAAATCCCCTCTTTCAGCACTAGTGCTTCAAAAGCTTTGAAGAGACTCAATCAATGGGCGTGGAAAGATGGGAGGAGGCCACGTGGTGGGAAATAAGAGCGTACTATTGAGCCAACAACAACATAAACCCAAAAGGAGAAACACTTACCAAAAGCCGTTGGTTGGGTAAAACTCTACGAGCTGTTGTGATAAAAGTTGGCACCGCGTGCGTCTTGTTTTAGAATAAGATTTACAGACATTTACCATACGTGGAGGCATTTAACCTCAAATCTCCCGCCTGCAGCCAAAGTCTAGCTGACAGAAGCCTTACAGTATCTTTGTATTAATGCATTTACGATTCATGTGCAACAACGCCGATGTTTGAAAGGCCGCCACCTCTCATATGGAGATGTACTGAGACTCTAATGTCGTGAAAAATGCCTTCGTGCCAATTACAATTCAGAATAAACAAAACTCCTTATTGTTGGTTTTAAACGAAATAAGCCACGCACCATGTCTTTTATAATAAAATAACGGATGCTATCAGTGTCTTCGATCTTGTGCAAAACGATGCAGTGCTTTAGTGTTTGTTCTTATACAATTACAGAACCAACTGTCTGATGTTTCTTACAGCATTGAGAAATTCTACACGCTAAACCCGCAGGATGATCGCACTGCTGAACTAAAGCTCCACTGCACAATGACAATGTTTTGGCGCCCGTCAGCCTACGTCATTAACCTGCGTCCAAATAGAGCAGACAAGACTGCAATGCATTCTCAAAAACTAGAAGAAAAGGGTTGGCTCGTTTATTTAGCCACTAAATTTCCGTGACAAATGACCTGAATTCGTACAGATCAATGTATTTGTGCATTCTGATGCGTGCATTTGCTTTATTTCAGCGTTTAGTTGCAAAATATAAAGGCACAAAATCTCAGCATTTTCTTGAGAAAGCCCATTTTCATCTGTTCATAATTCTGGAAGCTCTCCTCCTTTGTAAAATGATCGCGGCACCCAAACAAGCCGGTGGTATCGGTGGTTGATAGTCGGCCCAACACCTCTAGCCAACGTTTAGCTCTTTCAGCGTTGCGAGGGAAGCAGTGCAAATGCTGCTTGCTTTTGCACCGTACAAAAGCACATTTTCGACCTATGTTTCTGAATGGTTACATTAAAATCCGCATGTCAATCAAAATATAAGACCACGCCCTCACGAGTATTGGGAGAGGTACTAAGTGAAATCAAACAGTACATCAAAACTAAAAATCGAATTCTACAAAATATTTTTTTCTCTCTCCCGGATGCTCTCAGATAATATATTATATTAGTATAATATTTGGTTTAGTTCTGGATATAAAAGGACCTAAATCAACCACTAAAAACTGTTAACTACACAAATCGAATTCTACAAAATATTTTTTTCTCTCTCCCGGATGCTCTCAGATAATATATTATATTAGTATAATATATTGGTTTAGTTCTGGATATAAAAGGACCTAAATCAACCACTAAAAACTGTTAACTACACCTCTATAAATGTTTTTATTGTTTCACAACAACTTAATACTACAAAGTACAGAAGACTGTACTTTTAAAAAAAGAATGTGAGTGCGACTTTTTTAGTTTACATCTGGCGATTCAGAGTTGTGTGTGTGTGTGTGTTAATGACAAAATAAAAAAGGTAATAGCAACTTTTTCTCTCACAATTCTGACTTTATTTTTTCTTGTGATTGCCAAGTTAATATCTTGCAATATAACATATAAACTAAGAATTGCTTAAAAATAAAAAGTAGGAAGAAAGATGAAAAGTTGCAATTAACTTTTTATTTTTTTATCCTGTGGTGGAAACAGCTTCAATTAAAAAATCCCATCCATACTGTTTTGATTACTCATTGGATAAACATCTAGAAATTGGGAAAGAACCTTCAAAAGAAAACACTCTGGTCTAAGGAGGTGTTTTATTAGAATAAACTGCTGTGTGACATGCAGCTTTTGTAAGCTGACCAGCCATTACATTTATTTCAGCCATCAGCCGAAATAATAAAATAAAAAATGAACTTATACACCACTAAGGTGTGATTGTGTTTTAAATGTTCCAAAGCCATAACTGAAGAGACTGAGCAGGTGTCATAGACAGTACTGTCCATCCAACTGGCTTCACTTCTTTTTGGGCTGATTAGGTGTGTTGAATTTGAAAAAGATGATGTCACCATCTTCCACAATGTAGTTCCGCCCCTGTTGTCTGTATTTTCCCGCAGCCTGCAAGTATTTGACAACATTATCAGTTCAGTATTTAACCTTTAACAACCCATGCTGTTTTATGTCATCAAGCATGCCATTAAAATCTTACTTTAGCTGCGTTTTCACTGCCTTCATCCTTAAAGTCTGTAAACTTCATGACTTCGGCCATGATGAAGCCTTTCTCAAAGTCTGTGTGGATCTTTCCAGCTGCTTGCGGGGCCTTGGTGCCTTTCTGTAAGGTGTTCAAACACATGCATAACATTTCAGAGGTCCAGCAGAATATATCAGTGTTAAATGTGTTTCTGAACATGTGCTTTACTCACCCTGACGGTCCATGCACGGACTTCATCAGGTCCTGCTGTGAAGAAGTACTCCAGCTGCAGGGCTGAGTACCCACTCTTGATGATCTTAGTCAGAATACTGAAACAAAGAATTAAAAATTCACAACGTGAAAAACATGAAGGGAAAAATTATAACACTACAGAATAAGCATGACAGACTACAGCATTTGCAGGCTATCTAAGATGTACCAAAGTTTATTTTTTCATTCTCCATCGGAACAGATTTGGAGAATTGTAGCATTACATCACTTGCTCACCAATGGATCCTCAGCAGTGAATGGGCGCCGTCAAAGTGAGAGTTCAAACAGCTGATAAAAGTATCTGATAACAGCAATCCACACAAGCTTTTCATTGATTAATTGATGGACTGGAGTCATGTTGATTACTTGTGCATTATTGTAATGCTTTTATCAGCTGTTTGGGCTCTCATTCTGATGGCACCCATTCACTGCAGAGAAGCCATTTGTGAGAAAGTGATGTAATTTCCCCTTTCTCCAAATCTGATGTGATGAAGAAATAAACTCATCTACATCTGGGCTGGCAAATATTCATTTTGGATGAACTATTCTTTTAAATTCAGCAAAGAGGAAAAAGAAGGAGAATAAATCTCGACCTCTGTGTTTTGTTCTCCTCACAATATTTCTGTTTCTCTTCATCAGTCATATCCTGATAATTGCTCTCAAATCCCCCACTGAACGGGATGACCAGCGCACATGGATCATGAACGTCAACCCACTCCTTGATCTTCACCAACCTACAAAACAAAAAAAAAGGTTTACATCGGCGGTCCTAAAATCAGATTACCTGGAGGCTGATAGCTACAAAACAAAAGGCATTTATCAATAGTATAATTATAATATATAGTTATTTAGAGTGACTCATTTCTCCATTATACCTAGTATACTGCTCTGCATGTTTCCTGGAGTAATGACACCGGAGACTTGATTTCTTGAAAATCACAATAAATTAGGAAGCAGTGCTATTAAAAGGATAGTTGACCCAAAAATCTAAATTCTGTCACCATTTACTCACTTATGTTGTTCCAAACCGGTATGCATTTCTTTCTTTTGCTGGACAGGAAAGAAGATATTTTGAAGAAAACAATTTTGTGTCTATATAATGGAAGTCAATAGGAAGCATAAATGTTTCTTTAGTAAAAAATGTTTAGTTCTTCAAAATATCTTGTTTTGTTTTTCACAAAAGAATAAAAGTCTGTTTGGAATGGCACGAGAGTGAGTAAATGATGACATTTTTCATTTTTTGGTGAACTATCCCTTTAAGAGGCCATACACATACAGTGGTGTGAAAAAGTGTTGGCCCCCAATATTTAAATTTGTTTGATGATCTGAAACATTAAAGTGTGACATCAGGAAATCAGGAAGGGGGCCAACACTTTTTCACACCACTGTATCTATCAGTCTTTGATATAACATTAAGTTGTTTAAAGTTATACATAGCATTTAATGTACACATATGACATTTGTAAATCAATTTCATTTTAGTTGGACAAGGAAAAAGACAGTCTAAACTAAAAACGCAACTGAAAAGTGCAACAACACAATAGGCATTCAGAGTTTAAACAGCGCCATCATTTAAATCTGAAAATCTTGTTTTGTCATTTACTATACAGGCAATAGTGAACAAGTGAAAGATTTTGTGCAATTTATGTATAAACACTTGAGGAAGGCTTCACACGCTGGCCGGTAAACTGAGACCCATGTTTAACATGGTCCAGAGGTTGTGTAACACCAGCACAGAAATAACTGACTAACAGCAGATGAACAACACTTTATCTTACCATTTATTCTTTTTCCTGATGTAATCTTTCTCCGAGAGGTTTACCAAGTAGATCATCGGCTTGGATGTCAGGAACAGGTACTTATTCAAAACCTCAATCTAAAGATCAAGAAAAAACAGTGTAAAACCAAAACCTTAATCTGAGCAAATATGTTTTCAGGTTTGCTTATGTTCCCCTCAACAAAAAGTGAATAGGATTTTTCCATTAGCTTTTGTATTACTAAAAAAATAAGCTCTGTGACCATATTTACATATTTTGCTCATCAAGATAATCTTCACAAATGAAAACAACTTTCATCAAATTTGGAGCCTAAATACAATCACGTCCAAGTAAAAAACTGAAAAGTTAAAATAAACTACAAACTATTCCACTAAGCTTAAAATAGTTCACATCAGTGCGAGTATAAGCACAACAAGGCTTTAAAAGCAGACTAGTGAGTAGATGAGTTTTTCTGTTTAGCATGATGATAACAACCTCTGTAATGACATTTATTAAGGAAGAGGATTTGGGTGTTTTTCACCCAAAAATGAAAATTCTGTCATTAATTACTCACCCTCATGTCGTTCTAAACCCGTAAGACCTCCGTTCATCTTCGGAACACAAATTAAGATATTTTTGATTAATTCTGAGAGCTCTCTGACCCTCCCAGAGACAGCAACTACCACGTGTAATTACCACGTGTAATTACCACGATCAAGGTCCAGAAACGTAGCAAGGAGATCGGTAAAATAATCCATGTGACATCAGGGGTTCAACCGTAATTTTACGAAGCTACGAGAATACTTTTTGTACGCAAAGAAAACAAAAATAATGACTTTATTCAACAATTTGTCTCCTCCGCGTCACCCTGGTGCCATTTTGGAGAATATCCGCTGGACGTAAACAGCGTATGCTGTTCTGTGTCAGCTGCGTCACGTGGATACGTTGTTTTCGTTCAAATAATTTTTTCGTTCAAATAATTTTACCGATCTCCTTGCTACGTTTCTGGACCTTGATCGGGAGGTCTCCGAATTCATCAAAAATATCTTAATTTGTGTTCCGAAGATGAACGGAGGTCTTACGGGTTTAGAACGTCATGAGGGTAATTAATGACAGGCATTTTTGGGTGAACTAACCCTTTAAAGTAATTATAATGTGAGATTAAACTCGTTAAATTACAAGAATAAAGTCGTTGTGTTTTGAGAAAAAACACGTTAAAGTAAATACTGAGAATAAACATTAAATTACGAGAATAAAGTCGAAATAAGAGTTTTTTCTCGAAACACAACTTTATTCTCGAAATTTAATGTTTTAATTCTCAACATTTTATTTCAGCATTTTTCATGAAATTTAACAAGTTTAATCTTGCATTATAATGACATTAATCTCAAGATGGATTAATTTTTTTATTATTGCTTGGCCCTAATCCTCTTCCGTAATTTAGCCATTCATTAGCAACTGCCTTTTTCAAGACAAAGTGTGTATTAGTGATGTATTTTATGTATTTGAATAGAATGTGAAAATATGTGTTAATCACAGACATTTAATCAAAAAACCTTTCAAAAACACATGAACCGAAAGTACAGAAATGCTAACTTGTTTCTGGGTTTTAGGACTCATTTAGATTAAAAATGATTAAAAAAAAATTTAAAAAAAAGATTTTAACCTCTTTGTCATTCCATTCATGGTAATAACGGACATGTTTCTTTTCATCAACAACCCAGGACTTTACTTTACACATGATGTCCTGCAAGCAGAGAAAACATTAAAAAAATTTTAGTGCATGATTCTCTGCAGGCTTTCTGTTAATGTACAAAGTAGGAAGAATGTTTTAATTCTGTAGTAGTCAGATGTATACTGGGATATATAGTTCACTCACATATTCAGGTTTGAGTTTTTTGTCTCCTCCCCTCACAGCGGTTTTCTCAAGCTTATCAATGATTGGCCCAATCATCTCTTCATCCTTCATCCTCAGCTCTTCATGAATGATCTCTATATCCCTCACTGGGTCAACACAGCCCTCAACGTGGATAATATCTTCATCCTCAAAGGCTCCTACACACAAATGGTTGCATATACACATTATCAGGGTTGTTTTATTTAAAATACAAACATGGAACAAAACATCAGGTTTCTCAGGCATTAATTTCCACACAATTTCCATTTCAAGATTTAAAGAGGACACACATTTCCATATGTATGTTAGATAACTATCACAATGTAAATTTACATATTATAACTGTAGAAGTTTTCAAGGCTTTTTGTAAATTTGTACCTAATTTCATGAGGTTTTTTAACACATTTTGTCGAATTCTTTCTTCCTTATTTTCAACTACACTTCAACTAGCAGAAAAATTCTTCATATAACAGATATGAGAAATTTACTAAAATCTAAAAATCAACAAATGATCTTCTGAAATGCTTTGAAATGGATATCTACTTACGTGTCATGTGAAAGATGGCATCACAGGCACTGATGTGGGAGAGGAAGGCGTTACCCAAACCCTGGCCTGCGTGAGCCCCTTTCACTAAGCCAGCAATATCCACCACGTTCAGAAATGCTGGAACCTTACTGGAAGGAAAGATAAAAGAGAAATTAAGATCATGTCACTGATGACTAGAAACAGAAGCTGCTGATAATTGTATTATGCAGACATGCAGTGGGCACCTGGCTGGTTTATGGTACTGGCAGAGGAAGTCAAAGCGCTCATCTGGAATGGGCACACGGCTCTCGTTTGGGTCGATGGTGCAAAAGGGAAAATTCTCAGCCGCTGCCTGACTCTTTGTCAGAACATTGAAGAACGTTGACTTTCTGAAATCACAAATGAATTGAGATAAGTGACAAGAACATGGATCAGTGACACTTTGTTATGCATAATAAACAAACAAATACTGGCTTTATATACAGAGACTCAAGCTGTGTTCAAAATTGCAAACTATCTAGTTGATATTACACTTACTTCACCTCTTTAAAAAAGTATGTTCCATATAGTATTAATACAATTCGGACATATTACAGCCATGGTGTTGTCACTGTCACATGACCTACCAGGGTCAGTTGCATTGCTTCGCTGTATTTTTTACATACTGTTTTGTGAATACTATGAATTTGATGCATACTCTTTTGGTGAACCTTTTTTGCATACTATATAGCATGGAAGGCTGCAAAGTCGGACACAGCCCAACTTTGTTGCCATTCAAAAACGCCTGCCCATTCTGTAGCAGGATGATGTCATTCTCATAATGCACCATGATCATGAGTCATCATCCTTCTAATAATTTCACACAGTACAGCAGGATAGGTCTGCATTAAGCACGAATAAAATGCAGTTGGGTCAAGCATTCGCTCTTTATCATTTCTGACATTATTCCACTGCCGATGTCAAACTAAAGACCCAGCGCACATGCATACAGCCAGAATGCCAGCTGGGAGTGACACGCACCCTACATTTGGTAACCCAACAATTCCAATTTTCAAGGAAGTCCCGAAACGTCCAATCAGGGGGGGCTGTTTTGGTCCATCTCCCTTCTTTGGAGGCATCTGTGGAGAGAAAACAATAATACCTACTTTCGCTTTAATGCATTACATAATTGACCAAGCAAAACAACCAGTCATGCAGCTACTACACCTTTTTAGGAGCCATGGTTAAATGCTGTCAGTACTACTCTCTTGCAATATTACCAATGGAGTATATTTTGCATAATTAAGATGCAGTAGAAGCCAGGCAACGTGTAACTTCTTTGCCTGGCTAACTGCAGTAACTAGTTACCATTTCACGACAGTGAAACCAGTGGCACCAGGATCCCAAAATAGACCCCACATTGAGTGTAAACTGATCGGACTTATCCACTGTAAGAGAGGCTAAATATATGCCCTTCCCTGGACAAGTAAGAGAAGGCATACGTGTATCATAATCATATCGGTTACTTTTTAAAAATCTCTGCACCACTGCCAACTGACAGCCGGGTTAGTGGCGGTAGGGGTGCTTCTTTACTCGCTAGGAAGCCAACAGAGACCATCAATACCCTCATCCCCTATTCATTAGAGTGTATAGCTGGTTAGCATGCCGGTCATATGAAGGGGCCAATGCAATAAAATAGACAATTTAAGCACAAATAGCACGTCAAATCGATGCATATATAAATAAGATAAAACGTATGCTTATATCACCTTGATATCACAGTATGTCTATCAGGAGAAAGGGAATTTCGCTGAGCTCAAATAAACTCACGCTGCTCCACACTTCGGCCGATGAAACGGAAAGAATGTGCATACCGGAAGAGTCCTGAATCCTCACATTGTGATTGGTCGAAACGAGCTACGACGTAATGACGTTCGGGTAAACGCATGCAAGATGACGTAAACGCCTAAGGAGCCACTGAGAAAAGTTTTAATGAGTCAAACGAGAGTGGAAAACTCAAACCTGAAATACGATCAGACACTCCTAAAGATTGTTGGGGGAAAAAATTGAATAATATGGCAAAACTCAGATGAGTCAAGTTGTTTCACTAGTTGTGAAGTATCTCACTAGCTATGAGCTTTTGAGTAAAAAAAAGTTACACAAATGATTGTTTTCTTTATGTTGGTTTCAATCACTAAAACATAAAAGGACAATTTTGCTGAATTCTGTCCTAAAATCTAAAACTAAATCTCAAATATCATTATATATTTTTGTAATAGCTGTTGTATAAACGCATTCAGATGAGTCAGGTGTATTACATGTGTCATACGGTGGCCTCAAAAAGTATTTCGGACAGTTCAGCCACATTTACAATATATGTAATTGCATTGGACAAATTATCAGACCAAGTGGCATATGTAAACAGATGATGCTAAAGCTTCTCTTAGAGCTAAATTCACTTCTCTGAGGCATTCTTGCAATTGCTTTTAACCAACTATATGTAAAGCCAAGATCACACATGTGTCCTACAGACTATCTTTAGTTGTAATGAATTACATTTACATTCACATTACACATGTTTAAATGCAGGGCCCTGCAACTGTCTTTGTTTTCTTACTGACATTTTTTTTTTACATTAACTGTTACTGCTGTTTAAGTCTCTAAATGATCTTACTGTAATAATAATTACTGTAATAACTTAAATAATATGCTTATACAGCAATTCATAATAAAATTTATTTTATTAACATTTAAATTTATTAAAATTCATTATAAAATAATCCATCAGCAAGAAGATGGGACGAGGATGCAGCTGTCTTTGAAGGGACCTGCTGTGATGACGGCCTTCAGGTGGCTATAAAAGTCACAGCAAAGATGGAGAATGAGACATACATCCTGAGGTCAGAGCAGTGGTGTAATGTAACGAAGTAATAATACTTCGTTACAGTACTTAAGTATTTTTTGGGAGTATCTGTACTTTACTTGAGTTTTTATATTTCAGCCAACTTTTACTTTTACTCCACTACATTTCCTAATTAAAGGGCTCATATGATGTTACTAAAAAAGAACATTATTTTGCGTATTTGGTGTAATGAAATGTGTTTATGCGGTTTAAGATTAAAAAAACACATTATTTTCCACATACTGTACATTATTGTTTCTCCTCTATGTAATGTAATGAAAATCCTTCATTAAAAATAAAATCCTTTCTGAAACGTGTCGATTTTTACAAAGCTCATCGGTCTGAAAAGCGAGGTGTGCTCTGATTGGCTTGTTTTTGCTCAATTTTGCCAACGAAAATAGTTCCAAACAAAGATCACAGCACTGTTTTGCGTCTCTGAGCAATGGACGGTGTTTACTTATTGAATGAATCAGCTTTTTGAACGAATCGGTTGAATAAATGATTCAGTGATTCACTCATACTTTTAATTGAGTATGGCTTTCAGGTACTTTATACACCACTGGGTCAGAGTCACACACACCACATGGGTTACTTGACAGGGTACCTTTTCAGAGTTACCCTGGTCCCAGAGCTTCTTATCCCGGCTTGAAGTTTCCTGCTACTGCAACCCCAGAACCCGTTACGGTTCCACAGCTCTGTGTCATGGCAGCTCCAGTTGCAAAGCTTTCCAGAGGTTCCTGAATCAACCAACCCGTCACACTGATGCCCGTCACGTCCGCCACAAAGGTTCCTCTCATGATGGTGCAGAGACTCATGCCAAAGAAGTTCCAGCCAAGACCGCCCCAGTGTTTCCTGTAGTAGTCTCAGCCAGAGCTGGTATCCAAGCTGCTCCAGTCCCAGAGCTCCTCTACAAACCTCCATGGTCCCAGAGGTTCCTGCTAAAGCCGCTCTGGTCCAAGAGGATTCTGTCACAGCTGCATCAGAGGATCCTCTTACATCTTCAGTATTTCCTGTCACTGGTGTGCCACAATAAAAATACTTTGTGATTGTGCAAATACACAAAAAATATGTTGTTTTAACAGGTAAACATATGATCTGGAAATATTAACCATTTCTATTTTTATGCTTGAATTGTAGAGAGGTTAAGCCTCCTGTTTTACTAGTTTATATTTATCACTTTGAATGTATATTTGAATAATAAACCCACCAGGTAAGTAATACCAGGTAAGGAGCATCTCAAAGAGGAGTCACATATGTGGCCCTCGATTTACTATTTGAAGCCCACATGGATATGGCAAGCCGTTTTAACATTTAATACACCTGGCTCTACTAGTCATAATTTAGTTTTGACTAGTGAAAATTCAAATTCCAGGTATCTATTCCACAATTTTGCCTCGTTGTAATTGTAATTAAGGCATCTACAATGTAACTATGTAATTATGATTATGAATACAACGTAATTATAGTCATAATATACACTGAAGATATCTACAGTGTTATTTTGACAAGCCAAAATATACACTGAAGATCATACCGAGTGTAATAGTGACGAGTTTCTGTTACAGAACTCGTTTGAGAGATTGTCAGGTTAGTGGGCCAAATTCTTACATGAATAAATAAATCACCATCACATTGCCCTGTAAAACATTGCCCTATGTATAAAACCTGCTCTGCAGTTGCCATTTAATAGATACAGCTTTTGACACTGTTTTTAACTTTAATGTATGAACAGTATTACAGAAATTAAACAATTTAAGACTTCAACAAAGAATAAACAGTAACTTTTCACCAGTAACTGCCCTCCTGAATTATAATGTCATTTCACATATCTAGATATAAATGTATGATATACTTAGTCATAGAAACATAAATGACATCACCTACAGTATATAGATTAACACCAGCAAAACATATTCCATAGATAAAAGATGCTTAATTAGGGAATTTTCACACTTCAGTCAACATGACGGTACATAAAATAGTGCTGTAGAAAATGGAGCGACCCCACTGTAAATTCCAGAGATTGTTCTATATTTCTGCTTAGTTAGCTCTAAAAATGTAACTGTGTAGGATAATTTTCAGGTTTGTAAACATGTCTTGTATTGCTTTGCTACAAGGCCATATAGTCTTGTCATCAAGACAAGGCTCACAAGTAACACAATGCATACAATTAAAATCCCAGTCGGAAGTGTTTTTACAGCACTTGTGTAGACAGCATATTTCAGCTTTTCAGTAACAATTTCATCATAATTAATGTAATTATAATTAGTTCACATTCAGAGGTCTACAAATGTGTCACATACTCTGTTCCAAAATCTTCTAAGGCAGCATCCCTGTCGTCTTGAAACCCCTAAGTGACTAATTAAAAAACACAGCAACTCTGTGCACCATACCAATAGGGTACTGCATAGAAGACTCAACTTGCAATAGATTTAAACAGTGTTCAACATCAGCATATATAAGAATAATACCCATAAATACATAGCGCACGTGAATACAAGATAAAATAACACATTTTTAATTCGCCTCATCCACCATCTTGGACTTATTTTCACTCAAGATTGTATCAGTGTATTCTGGGATTGCCTTTCCACAAAGGATACATGCTATGCTGCCTTAAAATTGGGCTAAAATTAGGAATCTTAGGAAGCAGCATAACCACGTTTCTCACCTTTCAAAACAGCCTTTGTGTCAGAAGCATGCCTATGATGCCTTAAAATGTTTTAAAAACTAGGTTTTGGAACAGAGCAAGTGTGTGTAATTTGAGGGCTGTTGAATGAGATAAAGGGAGAGTTCTGTGCTCTTTGCATGCCATGCATAGTAATTCAAGAAGTACAACAAAAACTGATGAGTTCTTGCTTGGGCTCGTATCACATTACAAAGTGGAGGTACATTTGAAGCAATACCACAGGGAGTTGGAAGCCATACAGATGGGTCACATGGAGTAAGACACCGTTCTTCTGCAGCTGTGTCCTGAAAGCAAGGCCACACCTTTCTATCTTTAGCCACGCCCACACACAGGAGCCAATGAACTTACTGCCAGTATACCAAACCATACTCATATACCAGTGAGTACACCTGTCAATCAAAGAAAGGATTCACCAACTGGTCCGGTGAGAGATTCAGAAGAAGCACTAGGAAGAAAGTGAGAGAAACAGATAAGAGAGAAAATGGACAGGAGTGTGTTTTTTTTCCCACACTTCACTTTTTAATGTAGATTCATCTTTAATGTTGATTCCCTCAACAGTGTATACCTGTGACTATGGCACTATTTAGTTTGTTAGAGCATCCTGACCAGTCCCTCACAGAAAACAGACTTAACAAATGGTGTGAGCATTGTTACTCCTTTCAGAAATATAAATATACAAATTGCTAAAATATATGACTGGTCTGTATTGTGTTATATTAATTTAATAATAAGCGTCTTGGTGGGCTTCCATCTCTTTCCCCATAATTTATTGTCCACTCTGTACTATGAATAAAAATGGCCCAGAAATGAACTAATAATAATATGTGTGCTTGTGATCCACAACTGGAGAATGTGGCTCGTGAAAAATGCTAAAAAAGTGCAAAAATGAAAATGCAATAGAAAACATCTAGAGTACACTGCAACAATACTGCTTCACATTTTAAATAAAAAATGATTCCAGTTTAACCCATTATGAAATATTTGAACATTAAACATCTCAAACACAGACTCGCCAGGGTTATCAATAACTTAAACTTAAATTAAAAGGAAAAAATACAACATACAATCATGTTTGTCATTGAAAAAAGAATGACAGAAACAAAAGAAAATATTAAAAATTATTTCATATTTAATATATTCATTATATTTCAGCTAGTTGCAAAGGAATCATTTCTCATTTTCTTTTAGTACTAAAATAACTAAAGATAAACCTGTAATAAAAATGTATAAAAACTATACAGACAAAAAATACTAAAAATGACAAAAACAAAAAAACTTAAACTTAAATTAAAAGTAAAAAATACAACATACAATCATGTTTGTCATTGAAAAAAGAATGACAGAAACAAAATAAAATATTAAAAATTATTTCATATTTAATATATTCATTATATTTCAGCTAGTTGCAAAGGAATCATTTCTCATTTTCTTTTAGTACTAAAATAACTAAAGATAAACCTGAAATAAAAATGTATAAAAACTATACAGACATATTTGGGGGGGAAAAAATAATAAAATGACAAAAACACAAAACAAAATTACTAACACTTTAACCACAATTAGAATAAAAATGGTGAATATAGAAATAAAGACAAATTAAAAATATGAATAAAAACTGTAACAGTATATCAGTGATACTAAATTAATACTGACACTCACCCTCTATTGCGAACAATATCCTGAACACACTGATCTTTGTGGTATCTCACAAACTGTGTACAGGTCAGTCGTATTTCCTCAGGAACAGCAGCAGACTCAAGGCTTTCATCCTCACCAAAACCACACAGAGCGGCCAGCCTACAAACACAGAATGCCGCTGCTGAGGCTACATCCAAAAATTGTCACAATAGAATCTAGAATAATAACACAAACATGGCTGATTTACCGCTTTTTGAATGGAAGAATAATAAGATGCTCATCCAACCCAAAAATTGCAAAGGAAATAAAACCCTGAAGGAGAAATAGGATATTTTAAATATTAACACCATCCCTTCATATGTATCAAGCTGTTATAAGTTTGCAGTGAGAATTGTGTGACTGTGGTCACCTGTCCATAATTGGCTACAGCACAAAAGAACTGCAGTTCGAGGTAAAGTCGTCCTGGATCAGCACTGAACAACCACCACAGACAGCTGGACAGGTTCTGAAATATACAAATAATCAGTCCCAAATATAAAAAAAGATTTTTGGAGGATGTTGTAAATAGTGGTCAGAGTATAACTGACAATGCATCATGGTGCTTACTTCATTAAGCGTGTGTATGTATGTGTTTTTTGGGAGTGTATGTCTTTCTCATACAGTATGTGGAGTGGACATACAGCCAGCATGCTGACAACGAGGAGCAGGCAGAGGAGCACATGTCGAGCTATCTGTCTCTCCTCCTGCACACGTGAAGAGCTTGACGCCTCTCTCAGGGAAATCCCTAGAACAGAAACATGCTTTTCCCTGATGAAACTTTATTTAATAACTTGATGAGAGTGAAATAAAAAAATATTTCAACCTGCTGAAGGCACTGGCGAGTCGTTAAGATGCCCAACTATCATATCTGGCATGGGTTCACTACAACAAACATCTGTCAACAACAAAGAAGAAGTTATACTACACATACATTCTAGAAATATGCACATAATTGGAAATGCACTACTGTCACCTTACTAAAAGGAATAGTTCACCCAAAATGAAAACCACCCTCAGGCTATCCAAGATATAGGCGAGTTTGTTTCTTTACTGCAACAGATTTGGTGAAATTTCGCATTACATCACTTGTTCACAAATGGATCCTCTGCAGTGAATGGGTGCCGTCAGAATGAGCTCACACAGCTAACAAAAACACCACAATAATCAATTAATGATAGATTAACTTCTTACAAACATGCAACTTTTCACTTCACAAGATGTTAATTGATGGACTGGAATCATGTTGATTGATTGTGGATTATTGTGATGTTTTTATCAGTTGTTTTTATCAGCTCTTTCTGACGGCACCCATTCACTGCAGAGGATCCACTGCTGAACAAGTGATGTAATACTAAATTTCTCCAAATCTGTTCTGATGAAGAAAAAAACTCATCTACATCTTGGATGGCCTTAGAGTGTGTACATTTTCAGAAAATGTTCTTTTTTTTGGGTGAACTATTCCTTTAAAGGGATAGTTCACTCAAAAATGAAAATCTAACATTATTTTCATTATTTATTCAACGTCTCAGTGTTTTTTTGTCCATACAAAGAAAGTCATTAGGGTCCAGTGTTGTTTTGAACTGCAGTGACTTTTATCACTCAGACAAAAACAGCTGAAACATTCTTAAAAATATCTTTTGTGTTCCGCAGAAGAAAGAAAGTCAGATTTAGAATGACATAAAGGTGAGCAAATAATGAAGAATTTCATTTATGGGTGAACTCTCCCATTAAGTTATTTGCTTTTTTACTTTTAGTTCCCCAATACTGAATATACGCACATGCATACAGCAGAATTATATAGTTACCTGTGTTAAGGCTGCTGTAGGTTTGCTCGAGCTCAGATGAGTGCTGGTTCTCTGTCTGGGCTTGTCTCACATCTTCTGATGTGCCTGTCATGGAGTTTTGATCTAGGGCTTGATAGTTCTGCTCCTCCTGGGCCCCTCGGCTCAAACCCATCAAAGACAGACCACCCAACATGATGCTGCAACCCAGAACTACCACAGTACACACAATCTGAAGAAAAAGAGAGAATGGAAGGGGGTGGGGAAAGAAACAAGTTAATAGACAGACACAAATAAACTGTGACATGCATTGTGAGGTTTTGTATAAACACAGTCAAAAATCCCAACCTACCTGCCCCTTGCCATAAAAGAATGCGGAGTCCAAGTTGTCACTCATTCTTTGTCCTACCATGAGTAGCCCACCCACAATCAGAAAAGGAACTCTAAGATAGACAAAATTAAAACACAAAAGGTGTTTTCTCCAATGAATTTGCAGTTCTGCAGTATAATTTCCTGTCAGTTTCAAAGCATAATTTAATGTAATGTCATTTAATTTAACTTGGAAAATAAAAAAATTGAATGAATTTATTTTTGAATAATAAATACACACGCATACACACAGACACACACATATATACTCACCCCCAACCAAAGATGATGAAAAAGATAGGTTTCACTTTCAAGTTTTCATTTCTGCCCAATAAAGTAAGAGCGAACGCCAAAAGACCTACAACACAATATCTACACAACTGCTAAACATCGCTACAACTGCACAACACAAAGGAGATGTACTGCAACCTAAAATCACACAATGAAAATGACCCTTATCCATAAAGTATTGTTTAATGTGTGTGTGTGATGATTCATTACCTGTCCACATGTAGGTACTGTAAAGAGACCCATAAAGCAGAGTAAAGGTGAGAATTTGGCCAAACACGTTCCCCTGCTTCAGAAAAATCTTCCACAACATCATTGACACGCACGCTAGTAGCTGCATTAGAGACAAAAAACATAGCATACTTAGGAATACCATACTGAGGAAAAATATGTTAGAACAACTTGCTGGTTGCCAGGGCATTGCTTTATGGCTGCTAAGGTATTCTGTTTTTTAGTGTTAAGAGTATTTAGGGTAGTTGCTAGTCAAAAGATCCCTCAACAAGAGGTATGATTTAGGTCCCTCATTCAGTATATGTCTATAGAATAATGAATGTCTGTCTTTGTGCAAGATTATGTACCTGTGCTAAGAACAGATTTGTGGCAAACATATGCGGCAGCCTCCTAAACTTCTTACTCAGTAGCATGACAGCAAGGGTCCAACCCTGCAACACACACACACACACGCACACACACACACACAAACATTCTGGTAATCCAGATTTTGTAACTCATTGTTTCTGGGATCACATATTTCAGATATTTCTCTGTTTGATGTAGAACCTTTGATTTCTAATCCTCTTAATATTACTATATAGGCCTATGTTCTCTATGGTTACACGTGCATATTAAGCCAGGTCTCTCAAAGCCAGATCTCTCCCTCTCAAATATATAAAACATAAAAAGAAACCTAGAAACCTGAATAAAATAGAATAGAATAGAATAAGTGAACAGGATAGAAACAGAAACAAAAAACAGATAAGACAGAAGAGGACTTGAACAGAATACTCTAGACTAGAATAGAATAGACGTGAACCAGAAGAGACAGAAGATGAAAACCAATAAAATAGAAAATAATAGAACAGAATCAAATAGAAAGAAGAAGAGAACAGAACCGAATAGAAGCAGGAGTGAACCTGACCAGACAGAAGCAGTGAATAGAATAGAATTAAGTGAACAGAATAGAATTAAGTGAACAGAACTGAATAGATCAGAAGTTAACAAGAAGAGACAGAAGAAGGGAAGTGTACCTCACCTGAATAGAATAGAATAGAATCAGAAATAAACCATAAGTAACAGGAGAAGAGAAGAAACCCTAAATTAAATAGAACAAAATACAATAGACAGACAGAAGTAAACATACAGAACAGAATAGAATCAGAAATGAAACATAAAACACAGAAGAGAAGAGAAGAGAAGAGAAGAGAAGAGAATATATCTAACTGAATAAGTCTGTAAGCAAATGACATGCATTCTTTTACATATTAACCCACACACACTCACCAGGGCTATTAGGCTGACAATGCTGATGTTAAAGCTCACGTCCTGCAGCTCCGTCACCAGGGATGTGGCCTCCATCCACGGAATGGTCAGTAACCATGCCGACACATACATGATGGGCGCTGATAGGAACGTGCTAATGGCCATACCAGAGGTCACCTACCACACACAATACACTTGTACTGATTTGTGTTGGCTACATTTTTAATAGCAATGACTGAGTCTGAGTGACATTTGCAGGAATTCATTCATCGCTTACCACCTCCAGCTCCATGTTGTACTGGACAGCATATATGGCCACACTGGGAGCGGTAGGGAAGACTCCATAAAGGAAAGCATAATCAGACAGGCTGGAGTGATTTACAGAGCTGGAATTACCAGCATCCAACAGCTCCACCATGTCCTTACACAACAATGGCATAACTAGTCTGGAAAACAGAAACACATAGTCATAAATCTGTCTAAATTGTATGGACCAGCACTCAAATAATATATTTATGCATATATTCAAGATCTATGCATTTTAATAGCATATAAAATGTACATTATTTGCATTACACAGTTATAACAAAAAACAACGTACTAAACTTAATGTGATGCATATTTGTTAGTCATACATAAAGGAAACAAGAATGAGATGTATGTAATAGTACTAATAAAGCAAATATGTTTTAAATACACAAGAACCAGGTTTATATACTTATATACAGTAAATCAAATATATGATACATGATCTCATACATTTTAAATGACTGAATCTTGCTTGTTCCACAGCTAGCCATATTTAAATAATGTTCTGACTTTTAACTGATTCAATGTAATTATTTATTTGCTGATTGTAAATATTTTGAATACATAAATATGATTATTTAATTAAAATCAAATACAATGAAAAAATTGCAGCCTGATGATCAGTCTTATTTCAGTATTATTTATAAACTGTACTATTTTAAACTATTCATATTTTTCAGTTAGATTAAATTTGTATATTTTCAGCTTTCCTTTTTATTTTAGGTTAAGTTTTAGTAATTGTGTTATGTGCTTTTGTTATTTTTATTAGTTTTATGTTTTTAAATGTTTCTTTTTACCTTTAATTTAGGTCACACTTTAGTTTGGGGACCAATTTTCACTATGACTTTTGCTTCAATAAACTCCTAATTTGCTGCTTATTAATAGTTAGTAGGGTAGTTGTTAAGTTTAGGTATGGGGCAGGATGAAGGGATGTGAAATATGGTTGTGCAGAATAAGGCATTAATATGTACTTTATAAGTTCTAATAAACAGCCAAAATGCTAGTAATATGCATGCTAATAAGCAACTAGTTAATAGTGAGAATTGGTCCATAAACTAAAGTTTTACTCTCTACTTTTAGCTAACAAAAACAACTCTGCTGATGATAAGTATGTCACATCGGTCTGATAGTAAAATTTGCTACAACTGTTATAATCTTAGCAACCTCATAAACCAAATAGTGTGGAGTTCAAAACTACAATCTTCTGGTCCCAGATATTTAACCGCTATGCCAAAACACCCCACATACAACTAATTTTCACTCACAGTTTGGCAGTGATAAGCAGGATGAGGGAAACCCCAGTGCTGCGTGTGAGTTTACCCATCTGTCCCACCATGTTCAGGCCCAGATAAAAGAGTGCCGCCCCTCCAAAAGAGTTTGCCAGTCCATCAACAAACTCTCCTAGCAAAACAGGCACACGTCCACCAAACAGGAAATGAGAGAGAATTCCAACAATAACCATGAAGACTATTGGGTTCTTCAAAACCTGAAAAAAGAGAAAAGATTAGAATAACGTAAAAAAGGATGGCATCAACAGAAACTTCTGGATCAAGATAAACACACGCACCTGCAGTATGACTGTAAAGATCACATGCAGTTTGCTGTAGTTGCGGTCATTGGTGTGTCTCCATCTCTGAATCTCACACAAAGCAAAGCCCACAGGGTTCAGCAGCATCAGAGACACAGGAGCCACCAAATATATATACTGCATATACTCTGGGTGCGAAGTCCTGTACAGCGCATCCACTGTATGAGGAAAATTATCTCATGATTATTGACACAAAATCAATTTTTTGTACACAACCGTATGTGCATGTGTACTTTAGATGTATTTCTCACCTATAGGATATCCCAGTGCAAAGTCATTGCTCTGAGTGGCAAAGATAGCAAACAGCCCAGCTTTACTGTATTTGCTCTCAGGATTTGCCACCAACAGCGTCAGCACACAAACTAGCAAGAACACACACACTTTTGCGATCAAAATGCTCCATAGAAAAGACCAGACGACATGTTCAAACTGCAGCTGCACCATGTTCTTGAAGAGCAACGCAGGAAGTGCGAAACATGACACAAAACTTCCCAGGCCTTTGACCTGTCCGACGCTGATGATGTCACTGAGACCCGCCACATAGCCACACAGGATGATGCCAAAGCACTCCAGCAGAGCCGGGAAAAGTTTGTCGATAGACATGGCCGGTGCTCCAAGAGGGCTGTGAGTGATGTTGAGGCCATGAATGGTGACATACTGGCCCTCCATGATGATGAGGTTGACAGGGACCACTGAGAGATGATCTAACGGTGCAAATCAGGAAGCTAGGAACAGTAGTATAATATTCGAAGTCTTAAAATAAATTACCAAAGATGTTATTATGATAAACAAGGCCATTGAATGCAGTCAAATCAGCTACATTTATCATCTGTACTACAGACGTTTCAGTCTTACCTTGCGAGAAAAACAACAGATATATAACTGTTGTCGATGACGTACCATGTGTTCACGTGTCGAGATGGTCGATACATGGACTAAATATCATGTTGTAAAAGAAAAACACAGCCGAAACATCAATGCTTTCACTCTGCTCACAGCATCTCCAGCGCTTCGGTATTCCGTTACTTTCAATGTCAAATCACTGAATGACTGACGCGTGAGTCCGCCTATGTCGTTGCAAGCTCCGCCTTATTTCGTCTGGTGATGTCGCTGATTGGTGGAAATGTTAGCGTATATGCTGATATTCACGGAACATTCTCAAGTGATTGGCCAGAGTCATGCGCGCTAGTGGATGGGAGTCATTTTGCCTCTATTATTAGTTTTTTTTTTTTAAATTGCAGTAAACAACAAGGATTACAGTACGTACAAAACAAACAGTAAAAAACAGTACGTACAAAACATACAAAATACCAATCAATAATAAACTACTTGCGGTGCAAATCAGAAAGCTAGGAATAAAAAAACAGTCAGAGAGAAGGAAAAACCTCTGTGAGAAGCAAAGTCAGGGCTCAACAAAAGAACGGCTGCCCTATATGCCACTGTTTTCTAGCAAAAGTGTGTTTATGAATTTGTAGCTGCCAAGGACTTGTGCAATTTCAGCTATAAATTATAAAAATACATTATATTAATATATAAAATAAACAAAAAAATTGTATTGCTGTAACTTGTTTTTCTAAATAAATGGCTAATAGTAAATCAGAAATATATTATTACAATTCTTAATATTATTGTTGTTATTATTATTAATAATAATAATAATAGATTACCTCGCCTACTACCTACAACAACAATAATAATTACAATAATAACATATTTTTAGAAAAAAGAAAATAAAAGAAGAGAGAAAAAAAAGGCATACAAATAGAAATACAAGTATATTAGGGAAAAATCTTAAACATGGCACAAATTCTAGATGTTTTTATAGCTTTCTTGTTAACAGACGTTGAAATTGTATTTAAATACAACTTCAGTTCTTGTCTTGCCTCTATTATTAGTAATGAAGGAATCTGTTGAGAGAATTCCACAAGGCCTTGTTGACCACATATTTCTTTTTTAAATAATTGGTTTCTTTTAATTTATTAAAACACACACACACAAATAATAAATAAAATTGCACTGAAATTATAAAGAACATGCTTACAAAATACATTAAAGTTGTCTACTGAAAATGCAAGAAGAGCTTAAAAAGAACTGAATACTGAAATGCGTTATTTTAATGAAAGGACAAATCCAGCTTCACTTGCATATTTATTTAGAAAACAACATATTTGGCACACCAGAATAGCAAAGACTGTTTGTAATAAAGTAAATATACAAATTAAACAACATAATATGTTGTATGAAATGTGCATTTACGAGCACAAAGAGAACAACTAAAGTACCACATTAAGACATAACAGAACAGAAATCAGAGGACTTCATTATTACTAATAATGTTGGTGGCAAATATTGTTTCTTTTTGGCTGTGCAATCATCTCTCTCCTCTCTAATAAATTCAAGATGCTTCAGATGTTATGCTACATTGCATATATCACTGAAAATTTCCTTTTTAATGTTTCATTAAAAGGCCTTTGTAAGTCATCTCTTTATGTAAACAAACATAAGGCAGCATAAACCAAGCCACTGCTTGGCTTCTTGATTCTTTCAAAGTATATAAATGAAGAAAACAAATGAAATGTAATTCAAGGTATGATACACTTATTGAATATACTTTTAGTCAAGCGATTTAGGCAAATATAACAGCACACATCTGAGAAATATCCATAAGGCAACATAATACTGAGCTAACATTAACAAAGCAAGCAAGTGCATACGTATATCATAAAATATAACACTTCTTAAACACATTTTTGGCTTTTTGGCTTACATCAACACAGATACAATCTCAATACACAGAAACCCACTTGTATAGGATTTTAAGGCAAATCATTTTTCATTCAAAGATCAGTCATATACAATGTCAGCTCTCAGGCTTGTTTAAATGGGGGATGATCTAAAGAGTCTTTAATAAAGGACATCTACATTTGCCCATAAACTCAGTCCTTGCTATTTTCACATCAGGGACTGCATATGTGAACAAATCAATCTGCAAAATAGAGTACTGACAGACTGCAACTCTGCTTATTGGAGAGAATTTAGCATTCTAACATTTTGGCCCTAATCACCACATTCACATACTGGTATTAAAGCAAACACACACACACACACACACTCTCTCTCTCTCTTTTAATATTTTAAGTGACTTTTTCAGTCGGATATTGTTCTAGCTACCTGATATTTTACCTTTGAGGGCTTGAAATGTCAATGCTATATAACTACTGTGTTGTATGAAAACAGGAAGATAGGGGGCGCCAAAACACACCAAAATGCTTTAAAATGAGAACTGTTGCACTTCTTCTCAAAATATAATTCTGTATGAGACAAGGACATAAGTGCACCTGCAATAGCAAAAATAAGTGACAGCCAAAAAGCCGAAACATTCACACTCTCCTGAAGGCCAATGAACTGCTGCCACAACTCATCATACTCAGAAAAATACTCAAAAATAAAGTCAAACTTAGCTGTAGTATCACTGTAGAGCTCATCACTTGACATACTCATAATAGCCATTATGTATTAATCTCTAAAGCAAACAAAAACAAAATAATATAACACAATATGTTGTTATTTTTATAGTTCTTTTATAGATTTTTTTAATGAATGACTCTGGCAGAAAAATATCTAAAACAGACAGTAACAGAGAAATAAGATAACTGGGTAAAGATTGTCAGGCCCTGAGACAACAGTTTCTTTCACCTAGGTATGGGGGGCAGGGGAGGTGCACCTCGCTCTTTCTTTCCTGACCCTGAAACAGACAGAAATATACAAACACACACACACAGGCACATAAACAAATGAACATATGTTGTCTGTAATATAACACAATATGTTGTTATTTTTATAGTTCTTTTATAGATTTTTTTACTGAATGACTCTGGCAGAAAAATATCAAAAACAGACAGTAACAGAGAAATAAGATAACTGGGTAAAGATTGTCAGGCCCTGAGACAACAGTTTCTTTCACCTAGGTATGGGGGGCAGGGGAGGTGCACCTCGCTCTTTCTTTCCTGACCCTGAAACAGACAGAAATATACAAACACACACACACAGGCACATAAACAAATGGGTAAGACCATGATTGTGCTGAAAGCACTGAATGTTATTCGAAGTATTCATTGGCATGTGGAAGCGACAGCTGCGGGTTGGTTTTGTCTATGTGCATAGCAACAAAACCGAATAAGATGAGAGAAAACAGCTGTGGTTGGTTACCTCGGCTTTCGTTCCTGGACATTTTGCTAGGATAGGTCTTCTGACAGGGAATGTAGGGCTCTGGGGGTGGAAGATCCGATACAGGTCGGAACGTGAAGCGTGATTCCCACTCATCTTGGAAAAACAAATTAAAGGCAAACACCATTAATCTCCAGCATTACCTACTTATGAATCTATGTTACTTACAGTGTTATTTACAGCTTAATAGGAGTAAATGAAATTACAAGGAACATGCCTGGTTCAATACATGTTCTATTGACAACATATGTGAAACGCCAACAATTACCCCCAAATAATTGGACTGACCCGTCAGTTTGTAAAAAAAAAATAAATTAAAAAATTAAAAAAGGTTTACAGTAATGCACTTACAATAGAAGTATATAGGGGAAGGCATTCTGAAGTTTAAAAGTAGTAATGTGAACTATTTATGTAAAAGCCCCTTCATTTATTTTTCCATTGAAATATCTTTATTATTTGAGTTGTAGTTAAAATTGTTTAGTGGTGAGACTACTGTTCTAAGGTGATGACGTTCTTGGTTATTAGTTTAGCCCTAAAGTATACTTTACTTTGTATTTTACGGTATGTGTTCAGTGCGCATGACTTACATCTCATCATCAAACATGCATACTGCACATGTGCAGACAGATTTTTCTTAACATGCATACTCTACGCTCAGATGGCACATGTGCCTTGAATTGTTTTGCACTGATTAGGTGGCGACACTGCCCCGGTCTTGGTTTCGCAGTCAGAAAAATGGAGGAGACAGAACAACAACAACAAAGACCGAAGCAAAAATAGTTAACAATCCATAAAAATCCATCATACAGTCTCCACTATGGCACTGGCATATGATGCCATCAGTAAAATGGTCTACTGAGTCTGGTGTGGAAGAATCTGACTAGCCTGCACAAGTCCAGATTTCAAAAGCATTGGGACGAAATGGAACGTGGTCTGCAAACCAGACTCCAATGTCCAACACTATCCCTGATGCTGTAATGTCTGAATGGGAACAAATCCTCACAACCATGTTGCAACATATATTGGGCAACCATCCCTGAAGAGTGGAAGCTGTTATAGCAGCAAAGGAACAACCAATTCCTTATTAATGCCAATGGTTTTGAGATCAAATGTTCATCAAGCAAATGGGTACAGTGTACCCATGGTGTACAGACTTATGGTAAGTTATACCAATGCAAAACAACTAAATACTTGACATTTATTCTTGGTAAACTCTACAAGACTCTTTAACATGTGTATAGGAATGTCACAATACCTATATGATGTCCCTGATTGTGGTATCCATTGCCCATAGGTGGGGGAGGAGGGGGCAGAGGTCCAGAGGAGGGTCTGTCTGGTGGGAGCGGTGGTCTACTGCCACCACGGTGAGGCTCCACACCTGGTCTGTTTGGCGGAGGAGGGGCTGGTGATGACCTCACACTTCCTCCTCCTGGACGGCCAGAAAGAGGTGGAGGTGGAAGAGGACCTGTGGACAAAAAGACAAAGACATAATATAAATTATCAAACAGGTGAATTTCAGATTATCCTGCAACAACCTGCAACTTCTCCTCTACCTGTTCGTCCACCTGCATTCCGGCCCAATGCGGGCGGTCTCTCAGAAGGAGGTGGAGGAAGTGGTCCGGATCGCCCAGGTGGAGGGGCGGGAGGATGCGAGCCAAGTGACAGGTTCCGTTCAGGAAGGCGTGGTGTATGCTCCTCAGGAGTAGACGGGTTTGGGCGTCCTGGAGGCAGAGGAGGTGCTGCACTAACAGGTGGCCGCAGAGAGGCAGGAGCAGGAGCTGGAGGAGGAGTTGGTTTACTACTTGCTGATGGTGGAGGTGGAGGGGGCGGGCTGTCCCGAGTGAGTGGCAAAGAAGAACGGTTTGCAGGGGGAACAGGTGGAGGACGGTCATCACCTCGACCAGGTGCAGGGGGAGGAGGCGGCCGTCCAGCATGACCAGCTGTGGGTGAAGGAACGGAAGGAGGACGACTAAATGCAGCTGGCACCGGTGGAGGTGCAGGCTGCCGCCCAGAAGGGTTTGGAGGTGGAGGGGTTGGTGCGGAACCAAGGCGAGGAGTCCCTGGAAGTGAGGGTGGTCCCCTGCTCTGTGCCCCACTCTGAAAGGGCCGTGGGGCACTTGGAAGCGGTGGAGGAGGTCCTCCAGGTGTTTCAGGATGCGGTGGGGTCATTCGTGGGCGAGGGGGGTCAACGGATTCACTGCGTTGCATAGGTGGACGATGGGCGGTGCCAGATCCTCCTCCGAAGGGCCGTGGACCAGAGCTACGAGCACCAGGTGGCAGAACTGGAGGCCTGACATTACTGGAGTCTGTAAGAGAGAGCAAATAATCTGATAAAAAGAGGTAACCTAACAAATGCAAGGTTATTAAATACATTTTTCGCCGTTTTCTAAAGTAAATATTATACTTTATTTTATGAATATATAAGGTCCATAATTGGGATTGGCCAAAATTTCTATATCGTAAATCCCTGTTGAATGAATGAGTTGGAATGTGTCAGTACACAGTAGTAGTATATAGCAAGCTTTAGTAGTATATTTGATATACATGTGTGCGTTCTTACCATCTCGAGTGGAGCGCAGCTTTGGCATGCCTCCCTGAAAGAGCCCACCCAGACCAGCTGGAGCTCCACCTCCACCTCCACCTCCACCTCCAAACCCTCCCCCTCCTCCAGGCCCACCTCCTCCTCCACCTCCACCACCACCTTTGGGTTCTGTCAAAACAAACATGTATTTAATATTTTGGACTGGAGAGCAAACCCACAACCAATAAGTGTTGCTACTCATTATACATGCAAAAATCATTAACATACAAAGGAGTTTTGAAAGTACAGCATAAAAGAAAACCTGTTTAAATATATGTCATATTAAATTTAATTGCGGCTGTTTTGGTGCGTAGACAGTGTATAGCCAGTGTAACTCCATAAGGTGCAGGTTCTTACTGTCAAGTATGGGGGCGCTACGGTCATTAGTAACCGCCTTCTTTAGCCTTGCTCCTTTGCTGATGTCCGACAGTAGAGCATTCCTGCCCTGCTGCGCCGATTTATTCAAGACAGGCTTCTCAGTGTTTGCCTGTGAGAAACAGAAGCACAGATATTTTCTGTAGAAATCATTAAAGCACTGGTGCCCCACAGCTTTACCACTTAAGACTGGAACACACTAAATGACTTTTGCCTAATTTGCAGTCTAGAAGAGTCGACAATAGTTGGCGAAAGTCAAAGCCAGTCTGCAGATTTTGGGCAGACGAGTTAACAGATTTGACAGAAAATCACAGTGTATGTCTCCAGTTTTTGTTTTGGCTTCAGACTATTATTTCTTCCAGTCCATCCATATATAATATGCTTGATATTTTGAGCCAGTTTTAGAACACGTATTGTTTTCATTTGTCATGCCTCTCCTAGCAACGAGGTGCTTGTTTCTGTGAGAGGTTATTGTATGCAAAACTGGTAGTGTGTGATCATTTAGTGTATGATGCCCAGTTTTTCTCTGTAACCATTTTCAAAGTGTATGATGCCTAGGGTTTTAAAATCTGTTTTAGATTTTGAAAGTTGTGTAGTGTATTTACTGTGTGTGCTTATTTGTGTGTGTACCTGAGAGAAGGTGGGGGGTGGCGGAGGGGGAGGTGGAGGAGGTACCGGCATTTTTTCTCCTTGTTGTCACCTTCTCTCACTAACAAAGTCCTAACAAACAGAAAGAGATTTTTTTATATATTTTTAGAAGAAATTGTGTTGCTTGTTGCCACAATATTGAGTGGTTTCCAGAGTGATGTTACACAGTTGCTAGGGTGTTCTGGGTGGTTAGTTACTTGCATTAAAAATGTTTTTCAAATAAAAAAAGCAATTATTATTAAAACAAATGTAATTCTTGAAAACCTTTGAAATAATTGTTTATTATTTCTTAGAAAAACACCTATTACTTCTTAATTCATGATAGTTCTAAAAAAATACTTTGAAAAATATATGTACATTTTTATATACTGTTAATTACAAATTTAAATATTTATTTAAAATATATATGTTATTAAAAAAAATGTATGTTGCATCTTCAAACAAGCCTCAGAAGTATTCATTGGTCAAGCATACCATAAGCGCCTCCTCTGTACACATGTAGCCTATAATGTGACACTGACATTGCGTCACATGAGCGTTTGATTGCTTGACAGGAGTTTCATTACATTGCAGCACATATCCATCTTAATAAATATTCGTACACACAAGTAGTTGTCATGTGACAACTGTGTCTTTGACCTTGAAATAATAACAGTGGTGCTTGAACACCACTAGCAGGAAACCCAACTGTAGCATGAATAGAAATAACATCATCACACTTTTCAGGTTTAAAAAAAAAAACAGACCTGAGACATTCATTAAATCACTGGTACTAATCTAACCACACCACATGACCCTACTAAAGTGGTCTCACACAGCCGCAACGTTTTGAATGGGTTTGACAGTAAGTAGCGAGTCTTGAAATGTCCTATTGTGCTATATATCAAGATCGCTTTTTGGGCATGCAATGACAACATAAGGCCATAACAAAAAAAGAAGGTAATTTCTGAAATGTAGAAAGCATACTGTAATAGACTAGTTCTCATAATATTCTCTCACACACTCAAACAACTAATACAGTAATGCCAACAATTACAAACTTTAAACTTTTCTCTGAGTTCAAGTTTGATAAAGGCCTCTCACTGCTGTGCTAACATCCGGAAGAGATCATAAACAGGAAGAGCTACAGCAATATACCTCTCACTTCTCATTCTCTATTTCATAAACGCACATCCACATTAGTTAATATCATGCAGACAAAGGTGGCAAAGAAACAACAAAAGGTTAAAAACCACAAGTGGGAACACAGATGAGACTCAAAGTGAACAAGTTAACACACAAGTACCCAGAAACACATAGTTTACACGCTCTTTAAAGCGTCTGCTCTTTCATCATCAAGATCTCTCAAGGGCGTCTTACAGACAGCCACATCACACTACTTCATTTGTCGCTCTTTCTTTTACTTCCTCTCTCTCTCCTTCTCTCTCCCTCTCTCAGGTATTTTTTATTCAGAGGTAAGCGGACATCCGGTCAGTTTGGCAAACGTTCTGATCACTGTAAATTGAGAAAACTTCCTTACATCACTTAAGTAACATTCAAGAGCCATGCATGCTTAAGTATTTTAAATGTATTTTAAAGGTAAAGTGATGTTAGAATTATTTCTCCTATTGCAGCTTAACATCCAGACAACTAGTGTAAATACTGTGTGGCACTTAAAAAAACATTGCTGTTTTGTTTTAGCATCCCGACCAGGGGTGAATTTCCCAAAAGCACTGTTAGCCAACAATGGTCACAAGTTCTGTCATTACAACATGATTCAATGATTTGACATTTCCCAAAACCATAGTTTCAATGAATATTTGCAAAAGGCAAACAGCAACGACTGGGAACAGAAATAGTGAAATGCCATGTTTGATACAACAGCATCTCAGAGAAATTACAAGCTGCTGACTCAATGAACCACATCTATATGAGAGTGTACACCAATTCCATACTTAAAGGGATAGTTCACCCAAAAATGAAAATTCTGTCATTAATTATTCACCCTCATGTCGTTCCAAACCCATAAGACCTTTGTTCATCTTCAGGATGACTTTCCAACCAATGCTGTTATCTTTCTTTATTCTGAATGAATATTGATATTTATAAACAGCTAGTCTCAAATCTATCGTGGTACTTTTATGGCATACATCAAAAATTGTAACTGACATGCACTGCCAGATACCATACAATGCTACATGAAGTCAAACATATTATTTTTAGCAGTTAATAGGTGATGCTAGTAGTGCAAAAAATACATCACCTTTATGATTTCTGAGAGGTGCAGATAAGTGTAAAAAACATTCCAGTGTCTTGAGAGAGAACAGTGGAGATGGACTATGGAGAATCTGATGCTGGATATACACTCTACAGCTGCCCTGTCCGGACTGTGCTATACATCCAGCAGTCTGAAATGTCATCATGTCTTAAACAGGGCCTTTGGCTGGACATTGTGTTCTTTTTGGAATTAGTCTATGCCAAGTGTGTGTTTTAGTGTGACAGTGTCTTATACAAATCACATAATGCATTTCACCTCTGTACCAGTGAAGAGTCAACCCTGCTCCAAATTTGCATACTATGTGTTCTAAATAGTAAGTTATAATTTCCAACTTTCACATTTGGCGTAGGTGTGTAATATATATTGCTGAACAAACCATGAAAATGCTTTTTTTAAAAACCCATCTGAATTTCCCAAGGGAACCCATGCCAAATTAGCCTTCCAGGTAGTCCCAATTATTTACATCATGACTGAACAACTGGTGCAACAATCAGGTTACAGAAGTAAAAATCCCATTCATTTTCTCCACAGGGGAACTGATTTTGAACCATAACGTATAAACCTTTAAAGACAGACCTACTGTGAGCTACGTGGCTGATAATCAATGGTATAGTCTGCAGTATTTGAACTTATATATAAATAGTTGTGCTAACAGAGGAATTCCTGGTGAGAAACAACACTATCAATGATTTTGCGAGAAATCTCCACCAATCAAAGAATCAAAACAAGCAAATCAAGCCAAAAGAATGCTTTAGAGCTTGCACACTCCCATGAAGCACTGCAAATTTTGTGATAGAGTCAGTCTCCCTACTCTCTCAAACTACTGAAATATTTCTACATATGCATATTTTGCAATATATTAAAAATATGTTGCTGATATACACATAATCAACATCTTTGAATCGATAGTTTTATATTTATCTGTTGTTTTTAATTGAATTATGTAATTCGGATTATGTGATTCTTTCCATTAAAGCCATTAATTACACAGTCATGTACCTTTGTCTTTTAGTGCGATTTTCAAATAAACTTTTGCTTCAAATCAAAGTTTGTAATGTTGTGATTCACCTCGTAGTTGGTTGGTTTGAGTCATGGCTTATAACGCTTTAACAAAGACTTTTTTTAAATACCTATGGGAAAAATTAACTTTTAAAAATTAAATGTAATAAAAATTCATTTGCACTGTTGCACTCTATTGAGATGCAGCCTAGGTCCCAGAATTTATGGAATTCAAATGTAAGGCCAATGTCAACAATGAAAAGTTAAATCTGAGATATCCAGCTCTCACTAAATAATGTTAAAGGGGTCATATGATGTTGCTAAAAAGAACATTATAATTGAAATCGCATCATATGACTCCTTTAAATCAAGAAACCAAAAATGGGTGGAGTCCTTCAACCACAACCTGCTACATCATACATGCAAAATCAGGCAGGAAGGGGCCACCCACAGAGAACCATACCTTTGTTTATTTGAAAGTGTTGTAAAACAGGATTTCTATCAATTGCGCTTTGCAATGCTTGCTGAAATTAACACATCACAAGCATAAAAAAATGGCTTACGAATGCTCAGCTTGCATAATGTGAGCATGTTCAAGCAAATAATGTGCCCACTGTGTCTTACTCTGTCTTTCCATCACTTTGAAGGCAGTCTTTATTGTCCACTTCCTTTCTGAAACTCAGCATAAGGTTGACACCTCTGGCTACATGCAAGCTTGTATCAAATGGATGATCTCAGATCCCGTCACATGATTTCTGACTCTCTTCGAAACGCTGGTCAAATAGAACACTAAACCAGTAGTGATGGGAAGTCCGGTTCTTTTCCGCGAACCGGTTCTTTCGGACAGTTCGTTTCAATGAACCGGTTCAAAAAAACGGTTCATCGGTTCTTTTACGCCCTAACGTAATGACGTCATTCGCGATGACGTAATGATATCAAGTCTATCACCAGACAAGAGAGAAGTAGAAGTTATGTCAGTACTTCTTTCACTGAGAGGAAGTTAATGCAGAGAAAGAACTATATTTGTATGGCTTATGCAGACTAAAATGACTTGTTCCTTCTTAAGTTCTCACTAAAAACGGCATGCATTCACAGTCTCAACAGTAGCTCACTGTGATTTAAAAAGAAAAAAAAAAACAGTTGCTACATAGTGTCACATTTCACACTTGGTGAAAACCACATGAAAAAATCAAGAGGAGGACTTGGCGTTGACATCAGCAGACTCATAAAAGTATTTAATGCAAGAAGGCAAGTTTGCTTGAAAGCAACATTTTCCAGCTTTTCAATTATCAAAACGTTTTCATGTGAAAAATCCGTACAATCCCAAGCCAACTAACACACAAACAATGTGCTTTGAGGTAACGCATTTAAGAGGAATGAACAGAGCAAAACAATGATACTACTGTGTTTGAAATAATTTGACATTGACAGCTCAAAATAACATGGTCTTCTATTCACAAGAAGAAAACTTAAAAATGAAAGAAAAAAGGAAGGGGGAAAGCATATGACTTGCATTGTATTTCACTGTGGAGTCTCCGTGGCCTGTCAATTAGAACCACATGCTCATACTAGTCCGAATCATTTCCACGAATCGATTCTTTTGAACAGTTCATTAAAAAACAGATTCGTCAATTATTTTATGTCATATCTTAATTGCGCCCTCAGGAGGTCTCTTGAAAGCAAAATTTATCGCTTTTTACGTCTACGTTTTATTGTTAATTTCGATTAAGTTTTTATTAATAAGGATGTCAGTCATGATTCTGCTCACAAAAGTCATTTACCTAAAGAGAGTTTGCATTTACCTTACACAAAAATACAATTAATTAATCTCATCGGTTCACTCCAAACAATGCTCGTATGATCATCTCATTTTGATAATAAAATTATTTGTAATCGAACATGTCCAAAAGTTATTGGTTTAATGAGCCGTTGCATTTGACTCGACAAACGCTCGAACCGATTCAGTTCTAGTCGTGAACAAATCGCTCGGTCCGATTTTGACCGATTCAACGAAAAGGTCCGACTCAAAGAACGATTCATTCACAAATCAGAAATCGCTTGCTATTACAGCTGATATAAATAACTGTTACATGACAACGGTAATAATGACTTAGTTGCCAGAGGAGGAAAAAAAACAATTAAGATTTGTTGCGTCTGTAAAGTACAGAAAAAACTTTAACTCATTCACCCTGCCACATATTCACGCTCAAACTGGCAACCCAGGAAGTGGGGGAGCCTCTGCTTCCCCTGAAAGTTGGCACCGTTTGCACTTTTGTGGATGAAACAATGGTTTTAAACATAACACTTTATCCAAACAACAATAAACTCACATAATAATTACAAATTTGCGGCAATAAATAAATCACGGGAAATCTGGTCACAAATTAGATCCTTGAGTCGGGCATTTTAGAAAGCAACGGGCTGCGTGAACACTTACCGGTGGTTTGCGTCTTTTTCTCTGCGTCCTCCGCTTACGAACCAAATACAGCAACGATCATCATCATGAAGCATCTACACAAACACAGAGGAACACAAGTTTTGGGCCACTCCTTCATGGCAGAAAGCACACACACACAAACACAACTTCTCTCCACTGTTTCCGCCCAGCGCGTGCTGCCGACAACCCATCACATTCGCAAGAAGGAATAACATTAAAACCGTATCGCTTTCACAATGGATGCAAAAATTCAGTACGTCTCAGCAGTATCACATCTCTTTAAATGAGGGAAGTACAGCTCAATGTTTCGAATAAGACGTGATATCTTCTAATCCGTTTCTTTACCCAGTTTTTCTTCCTCCGCCAATACAACAGACCCTCCGTTCCCTTTATCCGGGACATTCGTCTGTGATGCAACGTTTCCAGATGTGTGCGACTGCCTCGAGCTGAGCTCAAACATCTGTCAAACTCTGCACACAGTGTGTGACAGGAAAAGCTTGAGCGCTGACTGTATGAAAGTATGGAAAATGTAACAGGCGTGTCAATCAGATTTCAATTCAAATACATTCGCTTATAATTCACACATTTCTGGTCATAGTGAGAGAAAAAAATCTGCAAAAATGCCTAGAACACAAAACATTTGCTAAACCACTGAAGCCAAACAAAATTTTAGGCATAAAAGCAATTATAAAAAAATAAAATAAGAGAGAGAGAGAGAGAACCCAAACACTGTGATATTAGTTTATTATGCATTACAAGACAAATGTTCAATTTTTCAAGCAGGCCTATATGCTTAATCAAAAAGCATGTTAAAACTAAAAACTAACCATTAAATAATGTATATGTATGATATATTTGCCCAAATACACAGTGACATATACCGTCAGGCAAATGTAACAACAGCAACATCATCAGCTTCAACCATTTGTCTGCTATTTAGGTTTCGTTCTTTTTTTTAATGAGCAGTTAGTCAAATACAGTTTATTCATTCTTTTCTCTTTAAATATCAAGTGATTCAAGTACATTGGTTACCATGGAAAACACAGACCAAGAAAAATAAAAACAATTAAAAATATAATAAGCTCTTATGTAAAATAAATGCCACACATTCTCATATTTCTCTGCTTCCATGCTTAATTCTGACAAGTTATGCATATACATAGGCTACAGACATTCTAGGTTAGGAGCAAGCAACCGTATTAACACAAATACTTTAAATGAAGAGAAAAAAACAGTGTATGCGTTTTATTTTCCAGGTGTTGACTAAACTCACTGTTCCATTAACATCTGGTCTGATCAGGCATCCCCTATGCTACAGCTCAGCAGAGAGTCAAGGCACTCCAGTCCCTGGCTTCATTTGGGCCTTTGGGCTCTCACAGCATGCTGAGCTCGATCAGGCGTCCGGCAAACACTCCTAGTGTGCCAATAATACACACCGCCATAAACACACATAGAAGAATGTGATCCAGGACCATAGCGACAAATTTCCATTCCTCTGCAGCCTTGATGAACAGACAGAAGGAAAGACACAAGTAGTCAGTTAAAGGTAGAAAATGAATGTAGAGTAAAACAAAACTTATTTTCAAAGAGATGCAAAAGTGTCAGGAATAACAAAAAAAGATGAAGGTAAATGTTTTTACATTGTTGGACTCCTCGTCGCTTTTCATGGTGTCTGCGATGTATTTAACAACCTCAATGGCACTACGCACATCAGGATTTTTGGTTATGGGAGAGTGGTAAGTGACAGAGGCTGGCATGGGTTTCCCTGAAATGTCAGAGATGTCAAAATCTGCAGGAAAGAGACACTTTTCCTGTCGTTCCTGGGATGGTCGCTTTATGGTGGAGAAAAACATCAGGTTTGGAATGGTGTCTATGAAGATCTGTGGGACAGAGGAGAAAGTCAATATACTTCTCTGATCAGAATCTCAACAGATTTATCAATAGCTCAAATTAAACAAAAAATACCCCCAAATACATGTAAAGTTCAGAAACAAGTGAAAATCTTAAAAGAAAAAATAAATAAATAAATAAAGTATGTTATTTCTGTTCCACTAGCAGCACTAAACAGGACTGCAAAAATAATGATTCCCATGGTTGGAAAATCTGGATTTTTAATTCAACTAAAAATAAGTGCCTTTGTTAATTGAGGTGTACAATTTTTCAAGGTAAAAACAAGTGACTAAAATGCTGTGGAAGAAATCATCCACCCTTACAAAAATGTTAATTTTATTAAGTAAATTTAAGTAAAGTTCAAGTATATTTTCCAACTATACATTATATAGCAAGTACACTAAAATAAATGTACTAGTAGTAGTATACTTGTAAGTGTACTTGGGAGTAAATTGGCCAATGTTTTAGTTTACACTTTTAAGTGTACTTTAGGTGTAACAGTAGTAAAGTGAGTACACAATTAGTAAACATGTAAGGATTTCTTTTGTATTATAAATACACTGTGAACTATACTACAAGTGAACGTATAGATATGTACTGCTGATATACAGTTTACTAGTTACATGCTTCTATCCCACTTTTTTAGTAAACTACTAGCGTAATAGTTTTTATACTACAAATACTTCCAAGATTTTAAGGGAACTTAATATACGTTTTTACAGTTTATACATTTGTTTATTATGTTTACAATAAATTTTTTCAATTTTTTTTATTATATACACTATTTATATATTATTTTTAAACTTTATATATACTACTAGGTTCCTGCTATTTTTTATGCTCTAACTATACTTTAAGTAGGTTTTCATTTAATTCCTATGTATACTACCTTTGGATTAATGCCAATGATTTAAGGGTCTTGCTCCTATTGCTATTTGACTTGATGTTTTGTGATGAGATTTAAAATCATTTATTCTGTTAATAGAAGCCAGTATAAATCAGGTCTGTTACAACACTCTAACACTCTCAGATAATTAGCTATAAACTAAATTCTCATGTTACTTTAAATTATGACTTTTTCCCTGGAACACAAAAAGAGACACTGCTCCTTTCCATACGTACCTTGCGGACCCAAGCAGGCATAGTGTGTGTGCTGGGGGAGCGGTGGTGTGTGTTGATGACAATCACAGCTATGATGATGAAGGCAATGACAAAGATCATGGTGAAGAGCATGTATTTGCCAATGAGTGGAACAGCACTGGAGGTGGAGGGGATCAACTCAACAATCACCAGCAAGAACACAGTCAGAGATAGCAGGACAGAGATACTGAGTGTCATCTTCTCACCTAGGCAGAAACAAGTAAAGTTCGAAACGTCCATCAGGCTCCAAAGAAAAAAAAAAGAAAAAAAAATGTGATCAAGTATCTTTCATTTGTAATTTATAATACAAAAATAGGCATTACGCCATGATTTTTAATATATTTAAATATGCTACCAGAACATTTCCAACAAAAATAATTAGTTACCATGGTATAAAATAAAAATGATATAGGATTTGGGTCATACCGCACACCCCTACACAATCAAACACAGGTTTACCAGAGTCTGTGGGCAGGTAGAACACAAGCCCAGTGAGGAAGGAGAACAGCATGCAGGGGATGATGACATTCATGATGAAATAAAGAGGGAGGCGGAGCAAGAGGAAGTGATAACTGATATCAAGGTAGGGCGTATCTGGACAGCAAGCGTAATACACCCAGTGTTTCCAGTTCCTGTAATCCTTCATCACCCTCTCCGCTCTCCATGAAATGACTTAGGTCCGGTCTGTCATTGTCCTACTCACAGACACAAAAAAAATGTATGAATAAACTGGTTCATACAGATACATACAATAAGCAATGTACATATATGTGACCCTGGACCACAAAACCAGCCATAAGGGTCAATTTTTCAAAATTGAGATTTGTACATCATCTGAAAGCTGAATAAATATGCTTTGCATTGATGTATGGTTTATTAGGATAGGACAATATTTGGCTGAGATACAACTATTTGAAAATCTGGAACCTGAGGGTGCAAAAAAAAAATCAAAATATTGAGAAAATCGCCTTTAAAGTTGTCCAAATGAAGTTCTTAGCAATGCATATTACTAATCAAAAATTAAGTTTTGGTATATTTATGGTAGGAAATTTACACCATATCTTCATGGAACATGATGTTTACTTAATATCCTAATGATTTTTGGCATAAAAGAAAAATCGATAATTTTGACCCATACAATGTATTTTTGGCTATTGCTACAAATATACCCCAGCGACTTAAGACTGGTTTTGTGCTCCAGGGTCACATATTTATACTGCTTCCTCCTGATGGTCATGACTGGTGATCACGTGTGTATGGTGTTATAGTTACTGGGTTGATAATGACAAGGTTGCCATCATAAGTCCACGTTCCAAGTTTCATGCTGCAGTTTTGCAGGTCGAAGGGAAAGTGAAGGACCACAATCTCACAGTAGCTCTTAAAGATTGCTGGGGGAGTCCACGTTATCATACCTGTGTGCTCCAACAAGACTTTTGTCTCATGGACGATGGCAAAGTCTCCATCAGCACTGAACATACACATACACAAATAAAGAAAGATATCAGATCAAGTATACATATATATATATATATATATATATATATATATTTCAAGGCGGAGAAAAAGATATCTGTATTAATGACTCCTGACTGCTCCAAGTAGGTACTGTCATGTAAAATTTTAATTTTGAAAGATTTATGCATTATGGCAGCATTTGTTGAACTGCCTTTAATTCATTAAATTAATAAACAAAATCACTGCAAAATATGATTTCTTACTTTTCCTTATAAGCTGAAGTTGAAATGTGACCTCAACATTTCTTGACAGGTTTCATGACATTTTTGAAAGTATGTGGCACATTAAAATAATTTTTGTTCTAGTACCAAATCTTACATGTGTTATAAACATTGCCTGAATCTCAGTTATTGTTCATATAGATCAGTTTTCCCACAGTAAGCACCTTGATATCTACTGATATCTAGTTTGATAGCAGCACACAGGAACTGAAACAGCAGCTGAAACCCATACCTGCTTTAGCCGTACATTACTGGTGACAATCTGATTAACTTCATCCTGTAAATAAGAAAGAAAGGAAAGGTAATGGAAGGTAAGAGAAAACATAAAGTTTATTTGTCCAATGTAAACGTTTTTTAACATTTGAATAAAATATGAATCTGAATTCAAGAAACAAAAATGAACAGAGATATAATTTACCACACTGATAAGCTGAATGAGTTGTAGTTCCACAGTAACCACTACTGGATCCTTAAAATGGCTAACAGGACGAACAACCTTGTTATATCCGGTAAACAGAGTCCTTATTAATCTCGTCTCATCTTCTGAGCACAGTGCTGGTCCTGCAACACACACACACACACACACACACAAATTTAGTTGCTCTGCGAGAAAAAGTTATCACCCCACTCTTCTTATACACAAACACACATGTCCATCCTAAATGGCACAGAGGATTAACATTGATGGAGTCAAGCAACTGCATATGACACACACACACAGATGAAACACTAAGACATGCAATCTATGTCTGAGTAATGTCCCTATTAACCAGAACTAAGAAATAATGCAGAAATTCTGTTTGTAAAGAATCATCTTCTTTACATTTCTGAGTCATGTTGTTCTGAGAATAATGAACTAAAAATGTCCATGTTTCCATATGTTAATGACAGAATGTGACCATTTCAATTGCAATCTTGACTTGATTTCAACATCAGCACTATTGTTCCATCAGTTTGAGTACTGGTAGTCTGGTGAATGTATTCACACAGGTAAATGAGTGAGCTTTTGGGTCCACATGTACATTTACAGTATTTTAGATAAACCATCAAACGAAGAGCTTAGGCCACAACCTATATCAGATTTATAGTCAACAGTATCACTCCTCCCTGCTGAATAAAGCCTTGATTTCAGCCTCATCTAAGAGGTTATGCAAAAAATAAACAGAAAATATAAATAGAGAGACGAGACGCGAATATTTGTCAGCAAATAGCACAAAACTGACCGCTGACACACTGATCTCATATCAGCCACAAACCACTTGAATGAGACCGGTTGTCAGGACACCGGCAGGCCGCGCACCTGCGCCTGTCAATCAAACAGGACGCATAGTATGCATACCATACAAATAGCATAGACATCTTTTAAAAGTGTTTAAAAACCAAAACGTTTGAACATAACAACAACGTATTGCCATGGAAACGAACTTGTATCGGTTTCCAACAAAAGATTGAGTGGCAAAATACGACTTACCAGGTTATTTCTAGGCAAGTACACCGTTCTTCTCCATTATAGCTTAGACAGCGGTTAAACTAAAACCTTTTATCAATATATTAGAACTTAAGGCTAATAAGAGGGTTGTTGTTGATGTCTAACAGAGTAGTTTTCCTATATAATAGAAAACAAAGTGATTACTCACCAAATAGAAAAGGCAGAATTTGCTAAATCAATATAAAGTTATTCATCTCCTTGAAGGGACTTAGAAAGTCCGTGTAGTCGACTGAACGATCAAATGGTCTGTAGGAGCACCGCGTCCAGACTGTAGCTGAACTCTATATGTATGTATGTATGTATGTATGTGTGTGTGTGGTGTGCTGCACTATTGTCAAACCCGCAAGTGGCACGAGCTGACAACTGTCAGAGCCGGCACGAGAGAAACACTGCTGCTCGTGCGTGCTGCTGCGTTTAAACTTAAAGCGCTATGTTTATACAGTTGCACATAACTATCAAATGTCTTTAATGTAAACATTTCAACTGCTCAAAAAATGATAAAATATGTCCACCTAATATTACTTGTACCTTGCCCTGACCTCTTGAAATGTTGCAGTATGATAAAAAAAAAAATGCATTCTAGTGTCGCCCCCTTGCAGTTGCATCATGATGAACTCTCATTGTGAGATAAAAATGAAATTTTTTCCCCGTGGCGGAAAAAAACGGGGAGATGTAAACCCAGAATTCTGAGGGGAAAAAGAAAGAACTGCGAGATGAAAAATTTGTTAGATGTTAATAAGCATCGCTTTTTATTTCTCCTCTTTCCTATTACTTGTTTCGCGATCTGTTTCAGTTTTATAACCATTTCTTACTATGTGTAAGTAAGTTGTTGTTTTTTAGCATGTGTGTTTGGCAGTGTTATTTTTTAGGATTACTGATAAACTACTGTCATTTGATTTGTATTATTTGTATTTGTTTATAAAGTTTTAGCTTTTAGTTTTGTTTTTAGTTGTTTTAATACTACAATTGATTGCTTCTGTTGTCCTCATTTGTAAGTCGCTTTGGATAAAAGCGTCTGATAAATGACTAAATAAATAAACTCGGAAATGTGAGAATCAAAGTCAGAATTTAGATATTCACAATTGCGAGGAAACGTCAAAATTCTGATGTCACTTTTTTTTTAAATTCCGTGGCAGAAACAGGCTTCCATTTTAGATATTATATTTAAAAACCTAATTATGGCACATGGATTCTCACACTGAAAGAGACAACTACAAAAAGTTTAAGGATTATAATTTAGATTTCTGGTGAACTAAGTAATATGCAAGATCTGAGGCATTCTGTAACAGACCACTGTTTTTGGTAGATTACTGCTCCACCATATAAGTGTTTGACTTGTATTAAATATAGAAATAAACTAAAGCGACCCCTTTTAAAACATTCCCCAAATAACTTGAAATCTGCAATGAGCAACCATCTTCATTGGCACAATAATATCTTCAAACATTTTAAATACTGAAATACATGTATTTATTCTGTATTTGGATACATTTTTACAATACATGTTTTATCTTATCAGCCTTCAACAAAAACTTGGAAAATGTACAATTTTAATGACACCAACACAGAACTCTTTTGATAGCCAGTGTAAAACACATGTCGTCACAGCAGTGGGAAGAGGTGGACGGAGCAGTATTTACATGGCAAACAGAATGAGGAAAGCCACCATCAAACAGAAAAGACCCATAGCCTCGGACAGGGCAAATCCCAAGATAGCATATGAGAACAACTGCTGCTTCAGAGATGGGTTCCTGCAGGAGAGAGAGAGAGAGAGAGAGAAAGAGAGAGAAAGAGAGAGAGGGGTCAGGGGTCACTCATCACCAGATCTCGGTTTAGGAACACTGCTTTGTCATGGAAAAAGAGAGATCAGCTAACAACAGTGTGATGCATGACAGGGGTTAAATTTGCTCAAGCTGAACTACATAAACTCAATATTTCACATAATACTACACTTGCACTGCTGCAATATTAACAAGCTCAGTTCTTAAACTTAATTTTAAAATATATTTGAACTATAAAATAAATATAAAAACACCAAAATTTGAGTAAAGCTATAGTTTATGTGACACTACCATATGGAAAGATCTGGAAATTAATTGTTTCATGTACAACAAGTGATGGCAACAAGATGGTGATTATTTTCATGGATGTTGGTCTAGTCTACCTGGCATATCCAATAATGAGGCTGCCGAACACTGTTCCGATTCCAGCTCCTGAACCTGCCACTCCCACAGTGGCGGCACCAGCACCGATGAACTTGGCGGCTGTGTCGATATCACGGCTTATGGCGCTTGTCTGAAAACCCCGCACTGCAACCTGGGAAACGGCTGTCTGTGGCAGAAAGGCTGGGCTGGCCTTAAGAAAAAAAGATAACGTTCAAAATGAATGAACTGCACCTACCATCACTTGACAAAAAGAAATCGCTTTGTAGATTGCAACAAGCTTATAAAGCAAGTAAATGCATATAACAAAGGACTGAATCTTAAGATGATTTATAAAGAAGTCCTTGCCTAAGAAAAAGGCTTTTCAGAGAAGAATAACTACTAAAAGGGCATTAAACATTCATTTAAAACATCAAGTAAGTGCCACTGATCTTAAACGTGGCATATGAAAGTGACGTGTGGCCAAGTATGGTGTCCCATACACTCACACAACGTGAACACACACCCGGAGCAGTGGGCAGACACTTTTGCTGCGGCGCCCGGGGAGCAGTTGGGGGTTCGGTGCCTTGCTCAAGGGTCTCACCTCAGTCGTGGTATTGAAGGTGGAAGAGAGCGCTGTACATTCAATCCCCCCACCTACAATCCCGAGACCTTTGAGTTACAGGTCCGACTCTCTAACCATTAGGCCATATGCATAAAGCACTCACCTCTGCAGAGCTGACATCTGGCCTGGAGAGCACAGAGGCAGAGAGTGGTCTGCACAGCGCCCTTGAGCCAGAGCGGACCTGAGACAGAGATCAGAAATCACATTAGCGCATAAGACGTACAATTAAAGTGCTGTACTTAAGACTGACACACACAAGGCCAAATTGTTGCTTCAACACTTGAATTACGTGGGAGGTGCCTTGTGTCCAGAAAATCTATTAAATATTTGCTACAATCAGAAATTACACTGACTGAACATTCTTCAATCACACTCCAAATGTCAACTGAACAAATAATTACATTTATAATTAAATTAATAAAAGGACTGTGGCTAGTCCAGTACAAAATGACAGCAACAAAGCAGAACATAACACCCGCAGCCTTGAACCAACCATCACAACTAAATTTTACCCTTTAGCTCAAGTGTGATTCATTTTAAAAGAATGGTCTATGAAACATTATGTTTTGCTGTCAGATTTTTATAATGACCTTGACTTCTCTTTAATCGCCGTTCAGATGATAGCATTAGCAACCAACTGCTGCCATTGACATCTTAGCCACAATGATATACACACAGACAAATTCTGAAGCAGTATTTTTTGCAAAATGCCATCCAAACAACCCATCTGAAATGCACTGCATTAACATGGGGAAAAGGCAAGAGCACCAGGCCTCTTGCATTTTAAGGAAACATAATTTTCTGAGCTTTTCCATTCTATCATAACTGCAAAAACCGCTATAAATACTCACCAGCGCGGGTGTGGACACGAACTTCGCACAGGCGTACATGTTTGATTGAGCTCGCTGACTGTGGTGAGGAATAAACCCGCGTCTGTCTCTATGGAAAAAGCCGACAGTTTAAGGTCAATGCAATATCAACACTTTCAAAACGCCACCTGGTACTAATTAGCTCCTTTTGCAAGGGCTATATAATCTGTAGAACATGAAAAGGATCGAGTGATTTGATTAAATATATCTATAGTGTAATGATGGTATAAGATTATGACAATATAGCTTCTCCGGTTCCCATTTAACTCTCCTTCACTTACCCGGCTGCAGAGGTCGAACCGCTGAGAAGCTACTGCGCATGCCCGACCCTCTATTCTGCAATGAAGCTCCCGGATGCATGAATGACGTGCATGAAGGTCTTGTGACTACTCGATCCGTACCGGAAACACGATTTGTACTGCGCATGCGCGGAAATGCGTCTACTTCCTGTCTGTATTACGAAACAATTTACGGCAATTTTGGGTAGTGACAGTTATAATACTAATAATAATGTAGTAATGTTTTTATGTGTTGACACTACCCGATCCGTACCCGCTTGAAGGTCATTCAATGGTGCTTTATTTAAAACTGCGCTGAGGGCAAAGAAAACATAAAACTTTACTGCGTTTTTACACTTTTAACAGAATATATAAGAAAAATTACTGAACAAGCAGATTAAATAAATAATAAAATAAGGTAAAATAGATTGCTGTAGCACACAGACAACTTATGTAAATTAAAAAGGCCTATACAACACAGATCAAATACAATACTTAGTCCAGTACTTCAGTCCTGGTCATTGTTTTCATACTTATTAATAGGTTACTTGGGATACGCAATTATATAAAACATGACTGGGACCATGAGAGAATTCCTACAGTTTTGTACAAATATTTCATGTCAAAATACATATTTTTGGGGTCATATTACATTTGCTGGTTTGACATATTGAAAATATCTCAAAGAACACATCTAAGAAAATTCTTTTAGGTTCTGTGAAATAACATGTTATATCCTATCAAAGAGCACACAATTGTTGTAAGGGGCTGCTGGTGTATCTGGTTTGGAACAACTGAAAATTCGGAGTAAAAAAATTAAAATTTGCATAAGATGAAAACTAAATTTTAAATTTTTTAGTTACTTCAACTGCTATGCCAACATATGACAAAAAAGGTTATCAGTAAAGTGTAAGTATTTATGTTATGTATCATGCATGAAACATTTGCTTAGGCATGAGTATCAGAAACTTTCATTTAACCTTTCTATATTGTGCTTCTTAATTCTTAATCACTTTGTTGCCTACCAAAGAAAAACTCACTTTTCATGATAATGCTGAAAGAACCATTCTTTAGAAAAAGATGTTTTATTGGATTTAACATGCACACAATCCAGTCTGTAAATGCAACAGACATGTGCACAACAACTTGCAAGTACAGACAAACAAGAACAAGTGGACACCTCCAGTTCCAAAGCACATGAATTTTGTGTTGCTTATTGAGATAAGAGTCAATTCACAACGAACATGGAAATGAATTAACTAATGCAAAATGCAGAGGCACAATTGATTACAAAATTATCATCACCACCTTTTTTTTTTTTTTTTTTAATTCATGAATAAATACCAGTGTCACCTCTGGCATCAGATGACTTGTAAAGCATAGACAGCAATGCAGAAAACATCCAATGTATTATTTCTGGCAAATTTTGCAATTTTGTAAACTGTGCAGTTAAAACCTAGACATATTCCTAACCAGAAAGGCACAAGACAGTTGAATTATACACAAATACGTAAACAAACTGTTGGCCACAAAAAACAAGCAATTAAAACAATTCAAAACAAAATAATAAATATTTAATACTCAAAATAGTGCATTTAGCAAAAAGAAAACATCACTCCCCTACAAGGACTATGCGTTTGTCAGAGTGTATTTTTGTTCAGCTTGCGGTTTCAAATAATTCTGTAAACACAAAGACAGATAAAATCTGTAAAATGTATCCTGTCCTTATTTACTACACAACTGAATGCCAACACTGTAAAATGATACTATTCTGACTTTAGCAATTGCAGTTTGTTTTGTGAAATCACCCTCATAAACAAACCATGCACATGTATTGTACTGGGTGACATCACACCAAAACTGTAATGTGATATGATATTTAGCCCACTATATGTAAACACTGTGGTGCATATATAAATAAATTAGCAGTAAAAACTCTTAACAGCCTCCAGAATTACTAAGAAGTACTAAATGAACATGCTTAGGGTGAAGTTAAAACCAAACATCCCAAAAACCAAAAGCTGTAGCGAACGGCATTGATCATGCATGTTTAAACTGCATTTAAACACAGTTTAGTTTGATTCATCCTCTTTCTGCTGTTGCCCCTGAGCTCCAGCCTCTTCCTGTTGGACATTCTCTGAGGGGGGCGGGCTCTGTTGAGACTGTGCCTCTTCTTTCTCTGATTCATGTGCAGCAGGTGGATCTTCAGCGGTAGGGTCCTGAGGCTCAGCAGTTGTAGTTCTTTCTATGTCATCTGCAAAATGAAATAATTAAAATAATTGCCACTGGGGATGTATACTGCTAAAAGCCATGGCACTGTTGTGCATGTGTGAGATTGTGTGCGTATTAGGCCTGTTATTGCATTAAATAATAAGAATATAATTTGTGGTATTCTTCATTCAGTATGATAATGCATGTTTAAAAGAAGCACATGTATTATCAAGATTGTAAACAAACCAATTAATAATTAGAGGGAAAAAAAAGTTTAAGACAATGAGCCATGCACCTAAGGGTTTGGAAAAAAATCAGATTTTTTAAAGAGAGGTATTCAACATTTTAGACATTCAGTACCTAACTAAGCATCTGACCATCTCGCTAAAACTAATATTAATTTAGCAGATATTTTGCAAAAAGCATCTTTTTACTTGCTTTTTAATTTCTATAAAGATCAAAAAATAAGCTGAATGTCAAAAATGCAGGATATTTCCCTTAAGACAGATATAAAACAGACATAACATTTCAAATTACATATTAGGAGACATTTAAGATTTACAGTCAGATTTAAGATACAATAAGATTTACAGTCTTTTACAAACACATACAAAACACACCTTCCTGCTTTGTAATGGTGTCAGTCATTATTGTGTTGTGTGATTTTGTGTATGAGAGTGTTCTTTGAATAGGAAATGATTGTGATCATGATTATGTTACCCACTGTAACTGAAAGGAGCAGAGAATACTTTAGCACTAAAGCATCATGCAGTGCATTCAATACTGTTCACACGTTTGGGGTCAGAATTTTTTTTTTTTAAAATAAATTCATACTTTTATTCAGCAAAGACACATTAAATTGATCAAAAGTGACAATGAAGACATTGATAATGCTACAAAAATTATTTCAAATAAATTTTACATTTAGTTTTCTATTGATCAAAGGATCCTGATAATGTAGAACAGTTTCCACAAAAACATTAAGCAGCACAACGGTTTCAACACTGATAATAAAAAGAAAAGCTTCTTAAGCAGCTAAAGCCTATAACTGAAACTGAAGACCGGAGTAAAAATATTTTAAAGTATATTAAAATAGAAAACAGTCATTTTAAATAGTAAATTGTATTTTTGATCAAATAAATGCAGCCTTGGTGAGCGTAAGACCCATTAAAAAACAAAAACAAATCTTATGGACCCCAAACTTTTGAATGGTATTGTATGTGTAAGTAAAGTGTGTAGGTTCTGGGACCTGAGGGAAATTTCTTGAAACTATGAACTTTACTCCAAGGGGTGCCAGAGTGTGAAACACGAGTGGCAGGAGTCGAGACAATACGGTCTAAAAAAACACACAAATAAAATAAAATACAACATTCATTCATACAAACGATAAATGTAAATGATTTCTTCAAAACTGCACTGACTTTCAAAGTTGTTTGCTCTCCTCTTGGAGGCTTTCCAGCTGCAGTTTTAAGACTGATTGACACATGGCATGACAAGATGACAAAATGACTTTATGAGTTCTTAATAATGAGGTCACTGGCTGTCAGCAGCATGAAATACCTTCAGGGGCGTCACTGTCCTCTGGTGTCTCTGTGGCAGCAGAAGACTGTGTTTCAGGAGATTCAGAGCAAAGTCTGCGCTCAAAACTGAATTCTGGGAGTCTGGGGGCCTGGGGGCGTGTCTTTCTTGCCGGGTTCATGAAGTAGCAATAAGCACAACGGAATGCTGTAACATAAAACATCACGCATGAGTATCAAAATAAAACCCTCAAAGAAGGAAGTATCCTCGGCCCCAAAAACTTCACAGTTCTATACTGTGCTCTGACAGGTTCTTACCTGCATACTCAAATTCCTCCTTCAAAGCCATACCATTGTGGGAAAAACACTGCTGGCAAATCAATGCATATCTGAAAGTATAAGAATAAATGGGAGGAGTGAAGGAAACAATAATTCTCTCATGTACTGACATAATTCTGGCCAGTGCAGTGTTCAATGCGTTTCTCTTAACTTGTATGTCAAGCTGGTTGTATGTTATACCAGTGTAATACCTGTTCTGAGGTCCATCTCCCACCAAATACTCAATGACTCTGTCCACAGCGCTGCGCTCTCGTGGAAGGATGGGTCGAGCAAGAGGTGGACCAGGAGGACGCATACCTAAATTATCAAAAGCTTAATCAACACTTCATCATTACACAAATCAGGAAAATGACACGCTAGGACTTCACAATAATGCTAATGCCATCAACTGTGAAACCTATAAAGTTCAGTTTGAATTTAAGCCCCAGAAAATGTTGATTTAGTGAGGAATGCATTAATCCTTGAGTAAGAAGCTAGTCAGGAATTTTATTCAGGCTTAAACTGTGTGAATGCCTTTATCCACACTTAAAGGGATAGTTCACCTAAAAATTTAAATTCTAATTCATCCTCATGTCATTCCAAACCTGTATGACTTTCTTCTGTGGAACATAAAAGATTACATTTTAATAAACGTCTCAGTGTTCCATACAATAGAAGACAATGGTTATCAACATTCTTCAAAATATCTTTCATGTTCTGCAGAAGACCGAACATCATACAGGTTTGGAATGACATGAGGGTGAGTACATGACAGAATTATTATTTTAAGCAAACTATCACTTTAGAAAGGACACCTTCATAATGGACAAAAAATTGGGCATTTCAGCACACTTTTAAATGTGAAATTGTATTAAAACAGTGTACCTAAAACTACACGTTACTAAACATCTGTTGATGCGAAAAAATGTAATTATGCACGCTCTTTTCCCTTATTTTTACATTTTGATTTACATTTACTCACTTAAAGTTAATCTTTAAAAACACTAATAATTACTATCACTATCATAGTTTTATAGAGCCACAGCTAGGGATGCAACCGGTATCGGGCCCGATACTGGCCTCCTGTACTCGTTAAAATGCCCCGATACCACACGTCGATACCACACATAATGTGATAAGCGCCATATTCAAACAAAGAAACACTGACAACAGACAGCAGAAAGGAGTTATGGATGTCTACTACAAAGTATATGTATGCAATGAATAGTCAATTTCATCATGCACTGAGTATTCAGTATTAACGTCTGTATAGCTGATGTGCGCGAGATGATAAACAAAGCACGCTGAGTGGATTGAGCACGCGGCGGCGCAGATGCGCGAGCTTGTCGAGTTAATATACCTTTCTCACAGACATCACTGGAAAGTTTATAGTTCGGTAGAATATGTCAAAAACAAGTAAGTAAAACAATGCACAAGTTACTTAACGGTAGGGAGAGAGCGAGAGAGAGACAGAGAGAGAGAGAGCGAGAGAGAGCACGCGCGCACTTCTGTTGTGTGATCTTTGATGTTCACTCACTTAGCACACGCATCATTTGGATTAAAACGAAATCGTAAAAATAAAAGCATTCATAGGGGCATTCACTATAAACATCATTTATTTTCAACCTTAGGCATACACGACTTTCTAGCGAAAGTGAATCTAGCAGCCTGTGTGAAATGCGCTAGACTCTACTATTCTGCATCAGTACAAACACGTGCAGGCGTTGCGCGTGTTTTGCTTGCTTGAGTGTTTCTGCATTATATGAGTGGCTTTAAAATATAAATCGCAGCACGTTTCAGATGAAAAAACGCGACTTCTACTTCTGAAAATATCACAGTTAGGAGATTTATAACGAGTGGTTCCCTGCATTATTACAGCAAAGCGCGTGATTACAGTACTAAGCCGCTGCTCTAATGCTATTAAATTAAAGATGATGTACCATAGAGCAAAAGAATGAAAGTAACAAAAACTTGTAAAATACATTTTAATGGGCATAATTAAGTGTGAAAATAACCGAAGGATATACAGTGAAACCAAAAATGATTCAGAGACCAGATATAATTTTTGATATTTTTTTACTAGTGGGTGCAGGACACTATAGTTCATTTATGTAAGTGGCTAGCAGTTTTTCATTTAATTATCCACCATGTATATCCGCTGTAAGTATGAGTGTACTGAACCTGAGCCAGGTCCTGGTGAATAAGGGTTCATGCTTCTCATCATTTGTTGTGGTGTTTCTGCTTGGCTCGCTCCTGTTGGGCTGGCTACAGACCTGGCTAGCCCTTTCTCTGGAGGCCCTCCTGGGGCTCCGCGAAGGGGTGTGGCTCCTGGGGACATGGGACTGGGTACTGGACCAGGACTAGCCATTGCAACATGCCGCTGCCGAAGGTCTGGATATAATGAGAGTACAGTGTGCATTATGCCTAAGGAAAACACGCATAAACACATAATCAAAAACAAAAGCACATACAAACCTTGTCCTGGTCTAGGGGTCATGTGGGGTCTGACTGGAGTGGCTTCTGCTTCCTGTAAAGACAAACCATGTATTCATCTAACTCACTAGCTCCAAAAATAAATCCCTACATCTGTTTAAAAACCATTTTCAAGCTTTAATATTACATATGACTACTTACTGCTTTCTTTTTAGATTCTGGATCGAATCTCTCCAATATGAGTTTAGCATTTTTGTAGGTCTCCGTTTCCATCACCTCCTCAAGCTGACAAAAACATAATTCGTTTGTTTTATGGTACATATGAACAATTTTATTCATCTGAAATATAAGTAGCCACAAGCAAGCTTACTTTCTTAGACAGCTGCTCTAATGTGTCTGAAATCACACTTACTATTTTCCGTTTCTGTGCTTTTAAATCATCTAATTTTTCATCTGAAACAGGAGAAACCATAAATTAGTCAATCTATAAAGATATTCATTCATTTAAAAAACATTTTCAAGCTTTAATATTACATATGACTACTTACTGCTTTCTTTTTAGATTCTGGATCAAATCTCTCCAATATGAGTTTAGCATTTTTGTAGGTCTCCGTTTCCATCACCTCCTCAAGCTGACAAAAACATAATTCGTTTGTTTTATGGTACATATGAACAATTTTATTCATCTGAAATATAAGTAGCCACAAGCAAGCTTACTTTCTTAGACAGCTGCTCTAATGTGTCTGAAATCACACTTACTATTTTCCGTTTCTGTGCTTTTAAATCATCTAATTTTTCATCTGAAACAGGAGAAACCATAAATTAGTCAATCTATAAAGATATTCATTCAAAAGACCAGTGAGTCAATCAATCAAATCGCAATCAGATCCCAATCAGATTAAGAAAAAGAAGAAAACCATGAAGAATGAAGAAAAACAACATATCATGAGCTTACTGTTTCTCTCTGTACGTTTGGAGAAAAGGAAGACGAGCAGTTTTCGTAGTAGCAACACTCTATGAAGAGAGAGAGAATATGAAATTAAGCAAGAGAACACAATAACAAATCAATGACGCAACGCAATAACATGACCTACCTAAGCCAAGCAGCCTTTAAAAAGAAGTATAACAGAATGCAATACGTGTGATAAAATACATAATACAGATGTAATAACATAAACTGTAATACACTAAGCAAGCCTAATAGAATGTCATTATCCATGAATAAAACATAGGACTCACAGTGCAGGAAAGGCCAGCAGAGGCAGGGCAGTGATGAGCCGAGCGCTCCACTGCTCAGGAAAGTACAGGTAATACACACACAGACACGTGATCAGGTACAGAGCAGATGAGTAGAAGAGAAGTCGGCCCACCCACAATTTCAGCAAACGCTGGTTCTTTGCACGAAACTCCTCAAGGTCCTTCGTGTCCTGTGGATTCATATCGCAACATTGTACGATCATTACCAATGTCATTACGTTAAATGTTGTAAAAATGCTTTGTGAGGTAACCTAAAAATGCTTCATTTGATAACATCTAATTTAACCCTATAAAGTCTAGGATCTCTCAATTATCAACATGATCAAACTGAAAAACTTGTTGTACACTATCTACTGCATGCTTCTGTCTGACTGATTCACACTTTTTTAGAGAGTAAATGGCCTTTTAGTTTTAATCTAAAAATGTCTACCTTGTGGTACACATGTCTGTTTGCTGTGAGTAAAGTAAATGTAAAAATAACTATTTATTTTGTTATTAATATTTCAAGATGAAAAAAATGGTTATCTTTTAAAAAAAATCATGTTAAATCATGTTGTTTCATGCTGAAACAGGCTTATGATGAACATTTATTTGTGCATCTCTCAACCACCATTGTATTGCATTGCAATGTTTTTAACTACATAGCTTTGATCAGAAAACTAATATTTATAATTTTTCTAAGACAAGTTTAAGTTTCACAAAATTTTTCCATTAAAATATGTTTTTCTGACTATTATTTGATATGTCAGGCTTCACAGGGTTAATTGGTTAGATTAAAGAATTAAAATTTTTAATTAACATGACTGATTCTGAATCTGACTACATTAGATTACACTAACTAAAGTCATTTTTAAGGTCAGGTCGGGTAGAAATGACGCCTCAAAGTAAGTTATAATGTTTGTTTACATGGTGGCATGAATAACAGATTTGTCAACATGTGTCCTGTTACAGCATTCCATTAAAACCTATGCACAACATAAATCTGAGAGACATTGAACCTGACAATGCAGAACATGAATACTGAATGCCGGATATAAGCTCTGTTAGTTACAGTTGAATGTACAGTGGAAATTAAACATAAAGCCCTCTGGAATTGCAAAGTGTATTCCTACAGCTCACTCTAAACTAAAGCAGTGACCACTACTGGACAGTTAAGGTCAACCGCAGCAGCCCGGCGAACAGATGGTCCCGTCAATACAGTCTCCAGATAGACAGAGACTTCAGGAGGCGAGCCAGGCATGAGTAAAGCAAGGAGATGCAGCCAGTACAAGGGTTCAAATGATGACATACAGCTCTGTGATGTGTGATAAGGTCACAACGGCTGAAAAGAGTCTGTAGGGTTTGAAAGGGCAGGACAACAGTGGGGAACATACCTTATCCAGTGCCTCTAGAAGTTCCACTGTGGAAGCTTTAGTCTGTTGGAGCATAACAATTACATTATTGTTTATAGTATGGGTTTGATAAAGAA